TTCCAGAAAAACCGGAAATCCGCCATATTGGATGGTAAAATGGTCACATCCGAAATGGTTGCGTATTTAAACTGTACCAAAAATTTCACACAAATCCGTTCACGAATACAGAAGTTACAGAGGGGTGGTGCGATAACCTGTGTCACCCGGTATATAATTTGATAATGTTTCCTCAAGCCATTTTTCACTTATTTATTGTGGTGTGGACTCGGGAGAGTGTTGGAGACGGGACGTCTGGATTAAAAGACTGCTGGATGATAACTGATGGTTTATTCTTGGTTTATTCATCGTTCATATATCACAGATCAGTTGTCAGAGTATACCAGGCACAGAACAATAGGTGCTGGTGCAAGGTGCACGTTTAGTGTAACCTAGTGTAGGTATATACCTACATGATATGTCACATTTATCATTATTATAGAGTCACTGGATGGCATTAGTAATCATTAGGAATCATTATTGAATCAAAACATTTAGATGGCTGATGTGGACACAACAGAAATGTCATGGAAACAAAACCAGGCATTTTTTGACATCTCTGTCGGTTTTTCAATTGAAATGGGTTATTCCGTAGAGGAAAAATACGAAATAGAGTAAGATAATATTATGATAAATATTATTACTTTGTTAATTGTTTTTGCCATGTGGGCGTTTCATGTGAGTCTTTTATCTAGTGACTCCCAGATATTTCACCTCCGCCGCAAACGGAATGCTCTCTCCATATATAAGACAGGCTGACGAAGCTTATCTAACTTTTGCCTTTTGGTAAAAGGGATGATTAGTTTTCCGGGGGTTCACAGACATCTACTCCCTCTCGCACCATCTGTACACAGTATTAATAAGGGCATCTTGTAGGCCGTTTGAGATCGTCGCTTCAAATAATTTTCCCTCTTACTATTAGGACTAGATTATCTGCATAGCATTGGATATCCACCCCCTGCATGGAAAGATCTTTTAGCAGAGTCAACCAGGAATGGCCACATAAGGAGGGAAAGTACCCCACCCTGTGGACAGGAGTTTACTGAGAGTAAAAAAAATCTGTGAACTTAAGATTTCCTGAAATGTTTTTTTATCTTTTTTATTCTGTAGGTATATGTTTAATTGTACATCTGTAAGTATATTTTGAATTTATTATTACTTTACTATGTATTTTCCGTACATGTCTGTTTATATTTGCGTATTTTATAATGAGATATTGTACATGTTTTTCTGCCGAGGGTTGTCTTCGTATAGGTATTGTTGTTTCTCTGTTTAGACTCTTTTGACTGGTTGCTGAGACCAATCAGTATTTTTCTTGTATTTCTCTTGATGGATTTCTTTGTAAGGGGCATTATTATTGTGTAATCTCTAGTAGTGAATGAAGTTTCTCTCTTTCTTTCTTTCTTTCTTTCTTTCAGGACCTTATTTTGCCGCCCTAAACCTGATCGACTCCCCATGCAGTGATGATATGACGTACCGATTTTCAATTATGGTTTTGATCCAGTTGCATATTTGATTGCTGATTCATCCACCTTGCATTGCATTGCCATATAGAGTGATTGTGGTAGGGCATTATTGAACGCTCCCTCTATGTCCAGGAAAGCTGCCAGCGCAATTTCCTTATGATTTAAGGAATGGCTAATCTTCCCTACAAGATTGTTCACTGCTAATTCCGATGATTTGCCTGTTTGGTAGGCATATTGATGGGGATTTAGGAGATGTTCCCTCAGATATTTCCCTCTCCAATATGCCTGTCTAGAATTCTTTCTAGAGTTTTCCAACCAGCCAAGAATTAAGGCCAAATTCGGCCTAAACATTTTACATGGAGGTCGATCATCTTGTTAGTGTAAATAATGTAGGCAACTAATGAAATTTAAGTCCAAGACTACTGTTGAAATTTTATTTCGTAACTTCAAAGAGGTAAGTACTCAAACAAAAATAAAGTTATTTCGTTTGGTTTTGTAGTATAGCAAACTCAATTTCGAATACCTTCTTTATTGACAACATAAAATATTATATATTCATAATAATAATCTCACTAAAAATTCAAGTGGATTTGGATCAAAATTTAACCAAATGATCAAACTTGCATGAATATTTCAAACCCACAAACAGCCAACAAATAAATCACATCGCATCGAAATGAAACCTGTGCGACTCAGACAACCGCTCCTTCTTATCCTCCTGCCTCTCTTTCCAGTGCCACCCCAATAATCCGTTACCACCGATACAACAAGGCCAGCAGACTCTGACGTGAACAGCTCGTGACGTCACCAAGAGAGGCCAGTGTTTTATTTTATCGTTTGTCAACTAACGCGTCAGTTCGTGTTAATTCATCGGTGATTCACGTATGTTTTTGAAACGGTCCCGAATTCTTTTGTTGTTTATTCATCAAAATGATTGGCGGAAAAATTACTGTTTTGTGAAATATTTTGCGTTGTGATCGGCGAAATAACAATGCCTTTCAAGTGTTGTGTTCCCTTTTGTCGGGGGAATTATGTGGGTGGTTCAAAAGATCATGCTTTTAGTTTCCCGTTGGACGAGGAGCTATCGAAAATGTGGGTATATGCAATTCACCGCGAGGATTTTACTCCATCTAAGTTCAGTAGTAAACAGAGCTCAATTTATAATGATGAATTAATAATAGAAGACAATTACTCTCTCATAAAAAGTATAAGTAGAGGAAAAATAGAAAAGCTTTGATTGTGCAGTTAGTTTTGTATTCGTATAATATATTAATATAGTCAACAAAATTATCTCTGAATTCGAGGAAATTTTCTCGAATGTTCATAATAAACGGGGCATTTTTAATTCTCATTCTCAAATTTCTTTCTGAAAACGGTCATTTGCCTCGTGGCAATGAATGCAGAATTCATTCCAATGATCAAATTGCAACTATCATATTAACATGAACTACAAACACTCTACTTAAAAAGGTAAAACTGCATTTATCATGATATTTATCATGAAGATATTTTACTAAAAAGTTCCAAATTTCACCTTCTTTTCCACCTGTCTTCTGGATGGCATTTAGAACAAATTTCCCTTCTTTTTTCATCATATTGGACAATTTATTGATAATTCAACTATAAATATGATTTTATTGAGATTAATCCATATTTAGTGAAAAGAAGGAAGAATATCATTCAAAATAATGGCGTGTGTAATGTCATTCGGAAGCAATCTATTGACATTTGACATCTCGTATTTTGATTGACTATTGATTAAATGGTCGTCCTCTGGAATGCTTGTTCACTAAATATGAAAAACTCGCCATAAAAATCATATTTCCTGTTGAATTTTCTATATAAAAATGTGCCATCGAAGTACATCATGAGTATATAAAGTGTCCAATGACAAAATAAGAGCAAGTAGCTTCAAATGCCCCCAACACAAGGGGAGAAAGAAGGCGAAATTTCGAACTTTTTCTTGAAATATCTCAATAAATAGTGGTTTGTTCACATTTTCATAATAAAATTCGGTTTATCAGACAAAAATACGTTAGTACCGAAAAAATTTTCAAAAAAAAAAAAAAAAACATCGCATGATAAATGCAGTTTTACCCTTAAAAATTACGGTTTCAAGTGTAACGATCCACTTGGGTGAAAAATCCAACAACGGAAAATTGGAAACACTCACTGGTTATTTTTTCAGGTAATAGGAATTCTCCAAGATAAATATAGGTAATTGTAACAAACCGCATGTCAATCAAAATAAAATAAATTTTCCACAATTTTCTTTCGATCAATCTCACGATAAGTTTATGTTCTGCGGGCCCTGTAAAAGTAGGTGTGAAGTTTACCTTCACCACAATTTTCGCCAATATATTCAATTCGAATGGGTTGCTGTAGGTGGATATTTGTGTTTTATCCTGGTTTTTGCTTTAAAACTTCGTTTTTCCATAATAAAATCGAATGAGGTGCGAAACAAAAAACAGCAAAATCGGCTCAATGATGATCTAAAACTAAAATCGAAATACGCGGTCGCCTTATAGCGCTATAAGCGCTTGTCGTTTCGAGCCGCTGGTTAGGCCTCACTAAGTGACGTCACCCACGGAGAATGCAGGCCTTGTTGTATCGGTGGTAACGAATAATCACAGTGATGATCATCAATCAGAAAAAATTCCTTGAGTTCTGGCAGTATCGCAAACGTAGACCATAGTGTACTGGTTCCACTTTACACCCTGTGTAAGTTTCGTTCTGCGAACGTTTTCACAGTGTTCTAGCTCTTTTTGAAGTCGATGAAATATCACATATATCTGATATCGAAAAACGCATGAAAATCAGTCAATTTTTTAAAAAAAATACAGGTCGTCGAAAAAGAGTCAAATTATGAGTTGTCCATTGGTAGAGATATTTTCCTTATTTAAGTATATAGATTATAAGCCCATCACATTCATTTATAAATGACTCGTTAGTCTTTCCGATAGTATATAATATCTCAATATTATTTGACTGCTCAAATGCAAGTATAGTAATAACTCATCCATGTTATTATCATAACTATAAAACTATGATAAGCATCTAAATCATTCTGTTATTCGTACCTGAGTTGCGAGGGGGCTCTGAAGTATGCAATTAAACCAATTTTAATATTTTTGTTTAAGGAATTCACTATCAAATTTACATGTATTAATTTCAACAGGTACAACTTCTACATTGGTGGATATTTTCCTTCTCATAGATTGAACATTTTTTTAGAGTTTGGTATATCGAATCTACTTAGAGACTCGTTGTTTCTCGTTCCCGATAGTATATATAAATATTCTTTGCCATCTGCAAGTATACTAATAACTCATCCATATGGTTTTGTCATAACTAAAAAAACTTTAGTTTTGAGAAATCTGAAACAGGAAGGTCGCATCTTCTGAACACTGCATTCTGATTGAAAACCGGTTGATTTCCAAAAAAGTTATCGCATCTTGAAGAACGTCAAAAATTTGAGTGGCTTACTTGTTAGATTGTGCACTTTGCACTTTATTAGAAAAAAAATGGCACCTTATGAAGTCCAAGAATATTGTTGAAATTTTATTTCAGAAGTTTAAACAGGTACTCAATAAAAATTAACAGTTTTGTTGTATAGCAAACTCAATTTTGAATACCTACTCTATTGAAAAATATTAACAACATAAAATATGTATATATCTTAATAAATACCTATGGTAATAGTCTCACTAAAAATTCAAGTGAATTTGCATCAATTAAACCAAATGATCAAACTTGCATGAATATCGCAAACCCACAAACAACCAACAAACAAATCACATCGCATCGAAATGAAACCTGTGCGACTCAGACAACCGCTCCTTCTTATCCTCCTGCCTCTCTTTCCAGTGCAGCACCCCGATAATCACAGTGATGAGCCCGCAAACCGTAGTCAGCGCCGCCACCGACATCAAAATCAACTTACTGGGCGTTACGAAAAGCTGCGCCTTCCATCTAGCCGGCTCGTTCGCAGGCCACGGAATAACCACCATCTGCGAATTGGGAATGATCTGCGTCCACGATCTCGAATGGTTCGACAGCCCTACAGTCAGCCTGTCCACGAAATTGGGCGTCCTGCCCAGCCCGAATATCGAGTAGGGCAGGTTGAGACTGAAGTGGGCAGACTGGGGCAGCTGGGCGGCCGCCCCGTGTCGAATAGTCCCCTCCTGAGTCGTAGTCGTGTATGATATGGAAGGTCCGGGAAGGTTAGTGCCGTAGGTGCGACGCTTCTTCCCCACACGCCCCATGATCATAGCGTTGTTGTTGTTGGTCAGGCCAGTGAGCACCATAATCTTGATGAAATTAGCGTCGTAGTCCAAGCTGTTCTTGAAAGCCGCTACCTTGTAATCCTTGCCGTTGTAGGTTACGAGTAGGCAGTCTAGGATTCCGTCTTGATAGAAGTCGAAGAAGGCAGCCATGGCTGTTCCATTGCCCAAAGGACTGAAGGTCTTCCATTTGATAGCATACGTTCGAGTCAGTTTGCCACAAGCGCTCTGACAAGGGACGTTTTCTAGTAAAAATGACTGCGGGAGACTGCTGTCGTTTTGTGTGTTTGCCAGAGTGGCTAGAATATCAGGGTAGCCGTCCATGTTGAAGTCTCCGCTACGTAGAGTTATCGCGTTCGTGTACCTGCTGCCGGGTCGGAGATAAAAGCGCCACAGGTTGGTGCTGTCGTCTTTGAAATTGACCAGGAGATCAACCCATTTCCCGTCGGTTAGCGAGTAGAGCATCAGATAGCTGTCTTTGCATTCCTTGTCGAGACATATGGGGGTGACCAAGTCCATTTTTCCTTTGAGCTCGACATCGATGAATAGGGATTGTCCGATCACTACGGCATCCTTGCCTTTGTTAGATGGGAGGGGAATAGTGTTGTTGAAAACGAACTTTTCTTGCTCCTCTTCGTTTCCCAGCCATATTTCAAAGTTGTTTTTGGTTGTTATGAACAAGTCTGGCATGTAATCATCATTCAGATCTGAAAATAAATTGGATGATTCAATCAATGGGTCAAAGTATTTTTTTTATTTTATAGTTACTTATCAAGCTTTTCAACACAGGGTGTTTCAGATTTCAATCAGAAAATTTTTGTAGGCGATAATTCTCACAAAAATAAAAGTTCAAATATACTTGTATGATATAGAGCTCAGTTTTCGAGAAACAGGGTGTTGACATTATGTATTAACTATCATTATGCCGAAATTCAGTGTGGTCTGTTACATGACAAATTCTCAAAATCTCAAACTGTCTCATCTCATCCTACATTAGAATTTGTTTTCATATCTGGTCTTCATTTTTTCTACACTAACCAAGAAACGAGATATCTCACGAATCAAATAAGTTGTACCTTCTATTGTTAAATCAAGTGAAGATAAAAACTTGAAAGAAACAATGGAGCACAATACTTTTTACCGTAAATATTGATCAGGTTAGGTCAGGTCTGGAATGCCACTGAAATAATTACGGTGAATTTAGTTACAGCGAAAGATACATTTTCATAAAATAACAGAACTTGCACTAACATGTACCTAAATAAAAAAACATGTTTCTCAAAACACTTGTAAATTCCTGTCAGACAAGAAAGCCCCCTTTTGTTCAGTTGCCTCAGCCCCCAGCTGGCATTATTTATATTGATAGTTGGCAGTATAATAAGCATCTTCCTACTTCAAATTTCTGGAACTTACTAAAAATTCTGCAAATAATATAACAATTTCAATTTTTCATAGAAGTGGAAGAGGAAGAGAGTCTGTATCTGGACTGGATACATTTCACAGGACATTATAATATAAAAACGAAAATCTGGCAATAAATGCAAAAAATGAAGACATAAACTGCAAAGTCTTGTCAAATGGATGAATGTTCTTGGCAAATGAAGTTTCTTGCAGATCAGAACCATTCAGGAAAATTAATTTCCATAATAATAGTCTTCAAGATGTAAAACTCAAGGTGAAACTCATAGAATGGTGGACATTGCAACAAAATATACCCATTAGGTAGTAGTTAGAATCTTTCATAATGAGAACATTTTTTGTTGCTGCTCTTTGAAATCAATTTAGGATAGAAAAAGCTGCAAAATTTGTTTCATTTTTTGTACAAGCACTAAAATGAAGATTATTTCAGTGGTGTTCTTGTAAGTTGATTATAAGTCCTCATTTTCTCTCAATTAAAACTCAACAGGAATTTTGATCTTAATGATTTAGATTGAAAGCATGCATTTGGCTGGCTCAACTGATTCAAATTCTTTCAACCCTGCTAAACTATAAAGATTTCTACTGGTATTTCTACTAGAGATAATATGTCAAAATATGTTTTATCTGAGACACAGTATATGTCTTGTCATAAATAGGTATTGTGAATTGTATAATAGCAAAATATGTGATAATATGCATATCCTACTTACCTAAGAATGCATGAGCATGCGGCTGAATTAGTTCTGCCATTGGATTCCTGTTATCTTTCATCTTAATTTCAATAGGATCATCTCTACTTTTGTTGAAGACCCAAAACATGCGGTTTTTCTTAATATCCTGACCAAATAAATCAATAATCATATCACCATTATAATCTATTGCCAAAGGCTGCCCAATCATTGTCAATACAGGTTTTTTTTCAACACTACAATTCAGATAACTTGCACCACCCCAAATGATGTAGACATCAGTGAATGATCTTTCCAAGTCATTATCAGTTGAAACTGACTTTCGAAGGGTTGATACAAGAATATCCATCAAGGCATCTCCATCAAAGTCCCCAGGAACAACACTTGTAATCAAATGATCATTGAAATGGCAACTTAATGGCTGTGGCCTTGCAGGTCGTAAAAGTGGTTCTTCTTCATTGGCAAGTAGTATTTCCATGGTATGACCATTTTCTCTCAAGACAAAGACATCTGTTAGTTCATCAGAATTAAAATCTCCAAAAGCTGCTGGCATTCCATCAGTGAAATCACCAAAGGCTAATCTTGTGATATCACTGCATTCCACTTCTAATTTGAAGAAACATAAATTGATGAGCAGAAACCAGCTAAAAATGCTGTATTCCATTATTTCAAGTTCTAGCAAATGGAACAATAACAAGATTACCTATATTTTGACATAGTGTTAAAACAGTAAAACAGTAATAAAATTTCTATCTAGATCTAGAACATATCGTAAAATATGCTATGAACGTATGCAAAAAAAAGATATAGTAATTATTGGATCTTCAATTTGATGTTGATGGCAAATCGGAAAATGATAGATAAGTTTTATTATTATGAAATTATGTCAAAACAAAGATTTCAAAACAATATCAACTTGTCAAATTTGTCAATATTGTCAAGTGAGATGTTGTCAAGAATCCTTTGCATGGAGAACAAATAGATCACGGCAGGAGGCTGTCGCTGGCGCTTCCACTGCTGCTGCTGACTGCCGCCACTGAATGATTATTCTGCTACTGCTACTGCACAAGAAAAGAAAGTACTTTTCACAAACAATCAATCATTATACGAAGTGTTGAAAAGTGCTAGAAAAGAACGGACCTGAAAATGAAAAAATCACCGGCAATCGAGGCCAGTCTGGCCAGTCTATCCTTCCTTCATCGGTGTCGCCAACTTCACACTAGCGCCTGCAGAGAGAATGCAAGAAATAAAGCACGTGTGGGGGAACGTATATGGCCTATGCGTGCAACTGATTTTACGGACACACGGACGCACGGAACCCTTCTTCATACAACAATGTTCGAGTATGTTGATGTTCGATGGTATATCTCACGACTAGAATGCGTATCTTATATGTTCAATGAATTATATTGAGTTCATTGAATTCGGCGGACGAACAAATCAAATAAATGACAAACGTCTATTGCAATAAAGCTTGCTGCCGTGCTTACGAGAAATCTCAAGGTGTTCACTGTTATCAGAAGGTCATAGCTCGCGTGCACGATGACCGACCCTGGAGGTAAAATATTGAAACACAACCTTACTTTTTTGTAAAACATTGGAACACAACTTCACTTTTTTTTATTTGATTACAGATGAATCAGAGGATTGAAATAGTTTTTCACCATATTTTGGTATACGAATCGTTATTTTTGCGCTATTCATTAGTTCAAGTATGCCTTCTCAATGTGCTGTTGTACAATACACAAGAAATGCAGCAATCGAGAGACGAAAGAATATGATTTTCCAGGTAAATAGTAATATCACATTGTTCTCATCATGTCAGACCAATTCCTTCCGTGCATGAATCCAATCTTCTTGCATTCTTTCAGAAATTTCACGAGTATTTCTAATAGCTAATATTGCAGAAGGAATTCCGATAAGAAATCAGAGAAATCACCAATTTTCAGAATGCAAACTATATGTGAGTGATATAGTAGGTACTTACTTTCGAATCATAATGTACCAACCGGATCTCGTCTCTCGCTGCATTTTTTGTGCATTGTACAACAGCACAATCTGCATGAGAATAGAAAGAGCTTTCAACCTAATATGTCCTAAATGAACTCTTTTCCTAAAAATTATCTTTTGGAAAATTAATTGTAAAAAAAAATTAAAAAAATTGACTCCTTGCAGGGATTGAACCCCAGTCACCACCTTGGAAGTCAGATACACAAACCACTAATAAGCTATCACTTATTTGTAGTTCCTCAATATAAGAAAGTATGAAATATCATATGTTGTGGGTGACGTCACTTGACCTCGATGTTCGAAGTTTCACTGGTCTAGCTAGACGCTTGTTTCAAGTAGGGTCCCTTGTTTCAAGGTATTGTGAGGAAGGAAAATATCTACAGATGATAGCTGCATTCTTTTTTAATGATCTAGAGACTTTAGTTTTGTCTACTGGCATCCCTGACATTGCTGTCACGTCACATTCATGGGCGCTACAGAATATCATTCAAAATTTTAATGATAGGTATGTACAGGGTATTTACTTGTTGAGGAAGATCATTATGGCGAACAAGTTCTGTAATGAAGATTCGATACTATTCAAAATTGATATCTGGGGGTTTTCGGGGTGGGAGATAATGATAAAATGGCGAAAGATATTAGTTTATTTAATTATTATTCTACCACAAATAGAAAATATGCAGGATGCAAAAGTGAAAATAACGTGCCTGTGAGTTATACTGCGTATACCTACTTGTTTATTACTTTCATCAATAAATTATTTGAAAATGACTTCATTTAAGGAAGACGGAAGAATCATATGTATAAACATATGGGGGTGAAGTAAAGTATATACCTACTATTCTATATTTCCCTGCACATTTTACGTATTACTTTTTATCAGTCTACTTTTCGTCCTAGACGAAGTTTCATACATAGTGTGATATTAGTCACTGCATAAATTCTTCTTCGAGTTGGATTTCCGAGTACAGTAGTTTAGATACTCACATCGAGGTTTTCATCATTTCTCAATCATAAGGCTCAGCTCATGCAGCTCATAGATAAACCACTGCTCAGTTTGAAATCAGAATAGAGCAATGACTGCTGACGTCACAACATGGCGCACTCGTCGTCAGTGTTGGGAACTGTTGGGAATGCTGGTACAATCGTACTATTTCTGGTACATTTGCATTGCAAAAATACGTTAGTACAACATACCGATAATTGGCTATATTCTAGTACATTTTGAAGATCTCAACAAACAGCGTTCGATTGTTCGATAGCTACTCTCTCAGTGGAGTTTGAAGTAGTATAGGCAACAAAGAACAAACCATAAAAATTAAAAATGCTGGTTGCAGTGGTTGCCCGATGAATGATCACAGAACTCACTTTGAGTTCTGTGCCGACTGACGATGATTCGATTGTTTATGACTTGTCATCTTGTCAATTGTCATTGTATGCGTCATTGTATGCGCATGTATTTGTTATTGTTATTTGCAATTGCAAATGCAATGTTCAATTTTTGTTTCAAATGGAAAGGTAAGTAGGTATATTTGATATTGGATTGAATAACTCCTGTTTTTATTTCTGATTTTACTTTAATTTTTTATTTATTATTCTCTTATTAAAAATAATTTGTTCTCATAATTGTGTTTTAATTCAATCAGTTTAAAACTAGGTATTTACAGAAAATTACCGCTCATTAAATTCAAACTTTTCAATTTCCCGCCAAATATAGTAAAATCTGGTACATTTTGGTTCGGCGATTCAGTACAAAGCCACAGTCCCAAAATCCCAACGCTGCTCGTCGTTTTCATCAGCTGATCGGGAGACAAACAAAGCTGTGTGTGAATTTTGATTTTATTATTTCTGACCCATTGGTGATTTTGTTGAACTTGTAGATATTATACAAGAAGAATGTGGAATGTGAACATTTTCTTCCAAAAGGAGTATCTATTGAGGTATATTACGTGAATCCAGTAAATTAAAATTGACAAATAAACCAATTTGAACTGTTCTTTAGCAAACATTTTGTGGTAAATGTGCAAGAAAGTTACATTGTACCCTTATGGAAAATGTGTATGCTTGTCCCCCATTCAGTCAATTCAGTCAACCCTTGTATACAGTATATAAGAACAGTCTCTTTTGGTGAAATAGATTGAGCTTTCAGTACAATTCATAATATGTTCCCTACCTCGCAAAAACTATGCTGGAGTAGTAAACTCTAAAACTAGAGGATTGTTCATCTATATTTTGGTATAGTTGAATCAGGAATTCCATATGGAAATTACGTATGATACGCCAGTGACCTCAATATGACCTAAAAAACAACAAATCGCTGTGCTTGAACAAGGGTCAGACAACTTGAAAAAATGCGATTTTCACTTTTTGGCCTTTTCTAGTTCCAAATTTTACGAGGAATCCAGTGCTATACTCGGTTTCCCTATATTCAATTTATAAATCATTCATATCTCGTATAACCTAGCCTTTCACGAAAACTAAATGAACAAAAATCCAGTGAATTATACGGATAACTTGAAATAACCTACTATTCATCTATTTAACTTGTGTCACTCATTATGTCCCCTTTGTGAAAGGCAAAGATATTTGAATATATCTCAGTATTTCACAATGTTAGGAGGAGATGTTTAGATTAAGACTGGAAATCCCTATCTATATAGTAGGAGATATAAAATTCTCGGATATTATAGATTCAAATCTTTTCTCTGAACATTATGGCCAGATTGAAAAGAAAGTTCCGAAAAAGATTCTGAGAGAATAATGCTGAAGTGTAAAGAAGAGTATCCAAAATTGACCAAAGCATACTCAGAAAGGCCGAAAATAACATTCAAGAAGAAGGAAAGCCTGATCAGCCTACTCCCTTATATACCTGAACAGTACCATACATTCTATAGAAACCTCAAATCTTTAAAAAAAGGCCAAACCTAATCGAATCAGAGGACTGAATAATTCATGTTTATATTTTATTATCGTCATTGTTAAAAAATACTGCTTTTATGTTTTCGTTATTTTATTTTTGTTCCATTATTATTAGTATAAACTGACAGTATTACTATATACATTGGACAACAGGATAAATATTGTTTCTTTCTCAGAGTATAGTTTCATTTGAGAAAATATTTTTCAGTTGATTATAAAGTTGAATTACAAAATCTCTTTAATTGATGAACGAAATACTCAGTTAACTTAGAAGATAATGAAGGTTGTATCAATCAACCCAATGATCAATAGAATGAAATAGTAGGATATCATCGATGAAAAAGACTTATCTTCGATATATTCACCAAAAACTAATGCAATAGTCGGACAATTCTGCCACGGAAAGAGATAATATTGAATAGTGATGACTAAATATGGTGAAATACTAGGACATCTTATAAACGGAATTAGGATAACTTCGATATATCTTCATCAAAACTGAGCAATACTAGGTTATTTCATCATCTCATCTGAATTTGATCAAAGTCAGTCCCATCAACTGGATGTGGATATAAACTGAATGAAATTTGATTCAAAAATGTATTATAAACACAATAATCTTCTGTTCGACCTAGACATTCTATGAAAATATCGTTTCATTACGTCAAAATCACGATTGTTAAACTTAAATATCGATTATCTCAAAACTATGTTTTTCAAGTTGTCTGACCCTTGTTCTAGCACAGCGAAATGTCAAAAATCTAGCAAATCTAGTGATTATCGTGTTTATCCTCTGTTTATCCCATATCCCCAGAATTGAATAAGGATGGGACTATATAACTGTTTCACAAACACTTCAGGGCCGCGATTCTTGAAAATCGGGGAGTAGAACAATCGAGAGAAAGTGGGCGTGTCCACTGTCCGAAACTGAAAACCGTATTCTTGAACTGAATAACACAAGAGGAGCGCTCCCTAGGGAGTTACTAATGCATCTATCAAGATTTTTAAGAGAACCAAAACGGGAACGCTTCTGATTGGCTCCCTCTGCTATTGAATTGAATAAAAATATGACAACTCTCTCAGTCTCATCAGTGATCAAAGGTTAGCTTTTTTGAATTTCCATATTTCGTAGGATTTCGATTGTGCTTTGGATTAAAAAAACATATGAATGAAGATATTCTGGATGTTGAACAACAAAATGACGTTGGTGTGGTTATACTTTCCAAACAAAACCCTTTTGAGTTGTCTGATCAGAAATTTTTGTAAATGCATGTTACGTCTAGCAAAATGTTTAACGAGGCAACTGATTAACATTGTGAATCCTCATATGGAAGCACCCACAAGAGCTTCTGCTCTCACTGTAGAGACTAAGGTATTTCACATCAACTACCTATATCTTCAGCTGGCGAGGTGTGATTTTCACCTCATGACCAATTTGAAAATGTTTCTCGAATGATAAATAATAACTTGGAAAAAATTATATTCATCTGTGCTTGAGAGCAGCTTGGGAATCAACATTTGAAAAAAATCAAATCAAATCAAAAGTTGCGTCATTAACAAAGCATATGATCGAATATTTAGGATATCAAATACATAAACATTGGAATATAATTTGTTATTGGATGTATGATAAATTGATATTCATCATACAGGACGTGGAAATAAATTCTGAATTGAGAAAACCTACTCACAAATCTGCGATTGAAGGTCTACAAAAATAACAAGTTTCCATCGTTCAAGTTTGAACCCTTTGAATATAAGTCAAGAAAAACAATATTTGGAGCACTGGCCTCTATCACAATATTATTGAAAAACAAAAATGAATACCATTCAACAAAATAGTGCGTCAATAACTTACTAACAAACTAAAGCACAACAAAAATATAGAAATGGAATGTAATAAAATGAGTCAGAACTCGCCCCCGGTGTGGCATGCTGAAGCCAGCATGATGGATGTAGTGTGCGTATCTGTTATGAGGCAGTCGTGATGAAACTTCAATGATGTGGTGCATCACGTGTCAAGAATGCCAAAAGTCACAAAACAAAAAAGATAAAAGAAATATTTTTTTCGTCGCCATTTTTGCGGCGAAGTCGTGGTGAGTGTTTAGCGACAAATTAATCGTCGTTTTCGACGAGGGGAGTTTCCTGCTCCCAAAAGTTTTCTATTTATTTGTTAAACAAATTTTTGTCCAGCCAAATTTGAGGAATACTGTTTTATACGGTTATTTCTTGTTTCTTGATTTATAATCATGGCTTTTTAAAATGTCTGCCTCGAAATTGCGTGTGGCCACTCCTTGTGGAGGTCCAAACTCCAATAAATTTTGGCTTTCCGGAGCTGGAGGACGTAGAAATGGAGAAAAAGGGAAATCGAACTTCACCAGCAACGAGGAATACTGCAACTGATTCCAAAAAAGGTTTGAATATGTTCCAACAAGATTATTGCAATATGAGGATATTTTATGTGACCTTTGTACATCCCTAAATTTGAATCTTATCTTTTATTTTCATGTAATCAATTACAAAGTATACTAGTAATCAGGCCACATGGATGATGATGAATTTGAATGAGGTTAGGAAATAATTGAAATTTAAATAAATTAAAAATGCAATGTAAATTGTTATTTCAGGATATTTATCATCAATGATTTGATATAATGAATTAATCTTCAATTTCTAGTGTGGAATAACAAGTATCTATCAACCTTATATATATCTGCACAAAATCAAGGTATCCAAAAATGGGTAACATGATTCATATTGATTAAGCAATTATCTGATCTTGAGATCTAAAATCTTAATGGTCAACTATAATGACCTTTCCAGAGTATTTGCCTTAGCCAAGGTCATCATCTGATGTGATGACATGAAAACTGCAGGAAAATATTCCTGAAAGTTAGACATGTTTTCCTGTAGTTTTTATGTCATCACAACATCAGATGATGACCTTGGCTACCATGAATAGAGTAGTCTAGGATAGATCCAGATAGAAAGTGGGTATGAGGTATTGAGGTACTCTGACAAAAAACATCCCTGACTCAATGCCAGGAGTGAGATGCTTGCCAGGAATTTCACGTCGAATGCAATAAACATTCACTTTTTGCACTTGTTGCATAAATAACTAAATAATGGTTATGTGAACAAATGTCATTATTGTGAAAAAACAAACAAAAACTGATAGTTCAGATGACCTTCAACTTCACCAGTGCTATCTGCTTTGACATATTACTTGTGATTTATCAAAATACTAGGCTACAAGTTCTTTTTCTGAATTTTTTATAATTTTTATGATATCAAATTGAAAGATTATTTGCAGTTTTATTTAAACATATATATCAAGGTTGAAATGGGCATAGGCATTATTTCTTTTTAGTTTGGCTATCTATAAAACCATGTTTCATCAGTTTTCAAACTACTATTCAATACAAAACTCATTTACCATATTGGATCCGCCATCTTTAATTTCACAATTTTGATGAAATAGTCCTAATCTCCAACTCCTGAAAGCCCCAGGTATAAATAGAATCCGATCATAATTAGACAACTTGCTTGACAAATTGGATCCGCCATCTTGAATTTCCAAATTTTGACAAGAGAATCATAATCACAGACCTCAAGAACCTGGGCTTAAAATGTTGAATAGAATCATTATTGCAAAACTCGATGGCCATATCAGTTCCACCATCTTGAATATTCAAATTTTGATGAAAGAATCAGAAATATATAACTCGTCTGTCATATTTGATCTGCCATCTTAAATTTCCTATGTCAGATGTTTTCCGCTCTTCTGTTGTTCAATAACAAAATGTTGAACTATCTGAATCACTTTTTTATACATGAAAATAATAACCAGCTCAATAACCAGACCATTCTTTTTCAATACCCTGGTATGGACAAAAGGGAGTCCCTATTATGTTATGCTGGTTATGAATTCTTAGGAATACTTCCTTTGGCCACTTCAATGTGAAAGACCATTTATGTTCAGGTTCCTGAAGATGACATCCTTTTTGTTTTGTTGAACTCACCATTTCCAAGTAAATAATTATTCACGTTCGCAAAAATGCTGTTTAAATGTGTCTGTTTTTTTGAAACCCTTCATAGAAATCATATGAAAAAACATTACCAGGTCAGTTTTCCCTATAAAAATATCTTATATGATTTCATAAAAAAAACGACCACATTTCCTTTTAATGAAAACGCAGGGCACTGTCCAAAATGATCGTTTCTGAAAAACTGATTATATTAGTGATTGTTCCGGATTGTTCATACTGGTCCAAATTTGGTAAGAATCGTATGACTAGCACGAATTCAATCCTACCCATATATTTATCTCTTGGGCGCAATAAGGATTATTATTATTCCAAATAGATGGATAGAACTGATAGAAGTGTTTAAAAGTGTTTAAAAAAGTGTGTTTAAAAGTGTTTTTAACCGCCAGCTTAGTTGCAAAGCAACCCTCGAAAGTCAGAGACTTTAGAGTATTTATTGAACCATGAAAAATTATATTTTCATAGAGGTTCTTACTCTAAAAACCATTTCATGTGGAAAAAAGAAGACTATAAAATAAACAGATTACATTTTGTCTTGTCAGGGACATTGGTTACAAAGTAGTATTCAAAATAGCTTCATCATTAAATATTTTGTATTTTTACAAAAGTACTGAAACATACTGTCTGTAGGTTAATCAAGGAGGTGATATATTCATTTAACTTGATTATTTGGGATTTTCTCTCGTTTCTATAAAATAAAAATATGAGTATTATTAAAAAAAAATTATTGAACACAGTGACATTTTGCGGCAAATCATCTGATTTTTCCTACTACACATATATTGAAATAATACTCATATTTTTATTTTATAGAAACCAGGAGAGAAAATCTCAAATAATCAAGTTGAATGAAAGTCCTGAAACAGATTACAAATAATGTAAAAAATCAATTAAAATTACCCAAGCTGTAAGTTTATTTACTCATAAGGTATTGCTGTTACATTCTTTCAATCAACAGGTGATACATTCATACATATCAACAGATAAATAAAAATAATACTTATAAAGCGACGAAAAGTGGGGTTAGATAACATAATATCCATAAACATTTCTTATTAAGTTGCTATTCCACATTCAGTTTCGAGCAATTTTTGGAGGAGAATTGAAAATATATAGCTATATTTTTTCGAATATTCTTCAATTTTGTTACAATTCTCTTTTTTTTCTGACAGTAGTGATGTTGATGATGTACAAGTTGAATAGAATTCAATTTCATGCTCACATTTGGAGTTTCCAGCCATTATTATTTGAGAAAACTGAAAATAGCTATTTTTATTTTTTCAAAATAACTTCATCTTCCCATCTAACCCCACTTTTTGCCATCGTAATTCTTTGAATTTACCGCCATACCAGTGATCAAGTGACATGTGTCAAAATCGACTTTTAAGTAGTCAGACATGCATAATAGATCCCCGAGAAAAAATGTTTCTATATTCTACTAATAAACTTTTTCTCCATGTGTTACGGACTTTATGGATGATACTGGATTTATATGTATCTATTATTTTGTATTCTATCATCACTTAATTTTGTTTTGAAAAAATGACATGTTATATTATGGTGCTATTCTACAAGATTTCTGAAGGGAATATAAACATAGTTTTTCTGTTTCTTTTTTTCTATTTCGCTTTCGGTAAATAAAATTTTGTTTTTTTTTTTTCAAATGAATTAATTCAAAAATGTCTGACTCAATTCAAAAAGTCGGACTTTGACGACTTTTTTTATAAAAGTCATGACTTATTCCAACCCTGATACCACGACAGATGCCAATTGGAGCACTTGGTGAAATGATTTATGTGGTTACTCCATGACATTGTTGAGTCAATGTACACTTCTCCAAGAAATTGTAGCCAAGAGTTTAGGAAACATTTTTGTCAAATCTACTTCTCCGATTTGGATGTTTTTTGTTTTGAATGACGGGTTATTTGCACTTATTTCCTTCTGATCATTGCTGTGCAAACTGTATTCGCATAAGAACCTCTATATATGAATACCGGGTGTAGCAATAATACCGTGTTTTTTTGTGAATAGTTTGACAGTTGAGTTATCAAGTTGAAACTGAAAGTACACTTTAGCCTTACCTTTCTTCAACACTCCTTTTTGGATTCACACCATTATCTTTCCTATTTCTCCAGAAACACAATTTTATTGTTATCAATAGGCGAGTGGACTAATTTTTTTTATTCCTTGAATAGAATCATTACTCAAATACATTTCAATTTCAATTTTTTTTTGAATTTTTCGGTCTATCTTTAGGTGCTGAAATCATAAATAATGCCATGGTAATTTTCAAACGGTTAGAATTTATCGCGAGTGAAAACTGACTTCACGATTTCATAAGTAGGGGCAGACCATAGCACAGTTGCCATGTGTTGAAATACTATCGGGATATTCAGAAATATTAGTTCAATAATTTATAAATCCTCAATTGAGTATTGGTAATATTCCTAATTCCTATTTAGCAATACAAAATCAATTGTCTCAAAATGATCCAATGATTTGTTATTTATTGCTTATTATACATTTGTGTCAATATTATTTATATTAATTCACACTATAGGACATTTGAAACGGTGAACATGACAACACGGCGCGCACGACTTGTGGGCGTGGTCTTGTCCCTTCTCCGCATTCAGCACAATGTTGCCAAGTCTCCAACATATACATGATATTTTGTTATGGAGTACATGAAACTTGACTACACAGCGTTTAAAGTCAATTTGTGGCTTGCAGATGGTCAGTTGAATCGATTTTATCGTCAGAGACAAACATGAAACTTGACTACACAGCGTTTAAAGTCAATTTGTGGCTTGCAGATGGTCAGTTGAATCGATTTTATCGTCAGAGACAAACATGAAACTTGACTACATAGCGTTTAAAGTCAATTTGTGGCTTGTTGAATCGATTTTATTGTCAGAGACAATCATGAAACTTGACTACTCAGCGTTTAAAGTCAATTTGTGGCTTGCAGATGGTCAGTTGAATCGATTTTATCGTCAGAGACAAACATGAAACTTGACTACACAGCGTTTAAAGTCAATTTGTGGCTTGCAGATGGTCAGTTGAATCGATTTTATCGTCAGAGACAAATATGAAACTTGACTACACAGCGTTTAAAGTCAATTTGTGGCTTGTTGAATCGATTTTATTGTCAGAGACAAACATGAAACTTGACTACTCAGCGTTTAAAGTCAATTTGTGGCTTGCAGATGGTGTCAGTAGTAAACAGTGGCCTCGCGGCAGTCGCCGCCGCGAATCAACTGTCAGCAGTCTCTCGTCCAAAAACGAGCCTTCCCGGAAGCCCCAACCGCAACGCGTCAAAACCCTGGACAAGCGACCCAAGCCGCGCGGCTCCTACTACGCCGGACCGGTGGCTCGAAATGAGACGCCCTGGCTAGAAGACCAGCAGGCCGAATTGGGTTCGGTTTTTCTACCGGGCAGCAAAAAGCAGAGCCTGAATCATTTGTTGAACTTTTCTTATACGCCCAGAGATGGTTATCCGTCTGGCAGGACGAGCAGGGATGGGAAAAGCGGCAGGATGCTTTGTACTAGGAAGCACAAGTACAACAAGGAGCATTTTTTGCAAGCAAAGTAAGTCGAAATTACTAGCATTGGTCCTTTAAAGGACCACGCACAATGAATCGACTCGTATCGGCTCGGAACGGTCGGCAAGTCAACTAATACCGCACAACTGAATCGGCAGTTTCGGCACATTCAGCATGTCTTCAGCAGCCATTTAATTTGTGTAAACTAATTTTCGTACAAGAGAAAATTAGTTCATCTGAATCCACAGAAGATATTATAGGATTGCCATAACATTTTTGAAGAAATAGAAAAACGGAAACCAAGGTTCTAATCCATAACATCAATCTCAACAAAGGGAACCTATTTAACCGTTAGGAACCTATATGAATGTTGTAGTGGTACTACCTTTTTTGGGGTTCATACAACCTGATATATTCCCGCCCACTTTCAATCAACAGTTCGTTAGAGATAACTTTGAATTTGCAGGTTTGTTCATTGTTCATACATCCTTTGAACTACGAAAAAGCCACAATGCTCAAATTAGAATGAAATGTTGAATAAATACAAAAAGCTCAAAGTCATCACACAATGTTCATAAAATGAACAACAATGGTAGATTTCGGTAGAAAAACAACTGCCTTCCAGGCTAATGCCACGCAGAACATTGAATTACATCCTCCCGAAATCTATGCATCGACCCATGCTGCTTACATATTGTCTATGAAAGACGCCTCTGGGGGAATATAATGCCGACTTGATTTTTGTTTGGCTAGGCTACGCTTAGTCGACGGTCTTAGGACTGCTGGCTGGAGACTGCCCTGCACTGATGAGAATCAAAGAGCTCGAAACCGGTCTGTAGGTGTCCAGCGTGGCCTGGCTAAATCGAAATCAATAGGCATTCAGGAAACAATCACTTACTTGCATCAGTATTCGTTTACGAGTCGTTGCATATTTCGGGAGGATGTAATTCAATGTTCTGCGTGGCATTAGCCAGGAAAGTAGTTGTTTTTCTACCGAAATCTACCATTGTTGTTCATTTTATGAACATTGTGAGGATATGACTTTGAGCTTTTTGTATTTATTTTTACATTCTTTGTCTCAAAATCGTACAAGCAGTGAGAGCAATCGGCACTATCGGCAGCCCCTTCAACAATTCTCTGCCGATGCCCAGACGATCTGGCTGATCTAAGCCGACCGAACCGATTCAGTGCGCGTCCTCCTTGATGATTAATCAGTTATCACATAAATAAAGAAGAAGAAAAGGATGTTGACATTGCATGAAAAAGAAGAGCGGGATATTAACATTATAATTCGCGGTCACCAAGATCATTAGATGACGTTGCAATGACATTAAAAACATCCCAACTCCTGGGCATAGATTGAAAGTTAGACATGTCTTCTCGTAGTTTTTAATGCCATCACAATGTCATCTAATTACCTTAGTGACCACGAATAGGGTAATTGGTTGACGACTGGGGAAGGATCACTAGACTATCAGGATTTCTGTAGGTCTTCGTGGGCTTAACCAGTAGCATACGTACTTCTTTTGATGCTCCTCCTGAGGTTTATTTATATTACCTCAAAGTTCATCGATACTTCATGAGTACTTTACCTTCTTCATTGAGACTTCACCGTATCTTATTGTAACCTCGCGAACTTGTTAGGGATTTTACGGAATGCATCTTCCGAAACAATCAATGAGTGCCTTAAGACTGGCGGATCCTATTATGCCTAACATGCTAGATTACTTGTATTCTAATTTCAAAAATTGCCCCCAAAGCGTTGAGTACACACTGCTGATAATTAGGCTTTGTGAAATTATTCCTTTGGGAAATTAAATGTTGTCAGAATTCTGGTATATATGGAATAATTCATATATACTTAACTTCAAGATACCAACACATGTAAAAGGGCTTTGCCTGTTTGTTTTGAATTATAAATAAATGAAATTATTATTACTACAAGACCAAAACATTAGAGTTTTTGTTACAAATTTCATTTGCTTGTGAGTTGGCAAGAACTCTGAATATATTTTATATTCTTCACATCAATTGATAGTCAGCATTCAAAACAGATTTTATGTATAATATAATCAATGATGAAAGAGATAAAAAACTATGTGTAGAAAAATATTGTACATACAACTTTATTGAGAGACTCCTATATTTGTCTGTTTCACTTGACTTGACTGTGCTTTTCATTTAAATCGCTAATGCTTCACTCTTAAGACTTTCTGAGTAAAAAACTGGTTTAAACCAACTAGCATGAAGTTGTAATTTTCACTAATTCATTGGTTAATTCTAATGACCTTGAAATGTGGCCAATGAAGATATTCCGGATCAACCTGATGACCTAAAAAGCCCTAATGATTAAATTTTGTATTCCAGTTGTCAGTTCATTGTCAACGAGTCCGGCGATTATAAACCATATCTAAACAACCCAGATGCTTTAGTCGACTGGAGTCTTATTGAACAAGTTGTAAGTTATCTTGATTCAATTGCTTCTCGAATTCTATGTAAAGAGTGTTATCATTTCAGACAGTCCAGGTGTCCGAATATCCTTCATGTCCGATCTGCCTCTATCCACCGGTGGCAGCTAAAATGACGCGGTGCGGCCATATTTACTGTTGGTCCTGTGTTCTGCATTATTTGTCGCTTTCTGATAAACCATCAAGGAAATGCCCAATATGCTATGAACCACTTGAAAAACAGGACCTCAAAAGGTGAGTTTCGGTAGCTGCTCACTAAATCATGGAATATAATAATGATAATAAAATTATCATTATTATCACATGAAAGTTCTCAAATAGGGAATAAAAGTGAGATATCGATAAGTAATATATTTTGTTTAACCCATTACCTCCCACTGTACTCATTTGAGAACACTGCAATGTACAAGAAACTGGTAATAATTTCGAGATGTACTCACAAATGGAGTAAATGTCGATCATGTCAACTGAAGAGATTGTGTAAACAAGTGTGCTGACTCATCTCTTGTTAAGATATGTGTGATACATTTCTGAATTAGATTTCAGAACTGGGTCCGAATTAGATGATAATTTTCAGCCAATTTCTTTGGAATGCTTCTTTAACAAACGTTTCAAAACATTTGGAGAAGGAATGGATTCTTTCTTCAGACCGTGAGCCTGAAATAAGTATTATTCCACCAGAGGTACACACTAAACCGGATGAAGAATAATTTGACAAAAACGATTTTGGTATACAGTGTGTCCCACTTACCATGCTCACCATGGGTATCTTTTTAACGGTGGGAGATACGAAGTCGGTTAAATGACACCAAATGTGGAGTTCGTCAAGGCCAACTATAATGTGAAAAAATATTTTGATAAAATCTATTCGTTTTTGTTTTATACGCAAAAAACAGATTTTGATCATTTTCATGTCTCCTCCATAACTTCTTTATTTATGAAAATATTCAAATAGGAATTTCACAATCTCATGGCAGTTTTTCAAACTTTCAAACCAACTCTTCTAGAATTTGAGATATCAGCACCAACTTTCGTTTTTCAAATGTAGGTCATAGATCACTATGACTTAGTTACAAATAACTTGTTTTTCTCTTACAGATGATATGTGGCAGTAATAGTTTTGTGTTGATAACAACGGAGTTATCATCATTTATACAAAACCAAAAAATTATTTGGAAGCCGCCATCTTGAATTTATAAATTTTAACAAAAAATCATGATCTCCGACCTCAAAAACCCCCACTTACCAATTTTGAATGGAATCGGACCAAATCTTGTCCGCCATCTTGAAGAAGCCATTTTTTTTTAATTTCAACAAAAATTCCAAGATATTAGTAACTCTTGAATATTTTGTATTATTTTCTCCTGCTCGTCATGAGAATAATATTATTGTTTTAATTTTTAGTGTTATTTCCTTTATCTATAGATATTAGTATATTTACAGTATATTACACCTTTAATATTTTCTCTGAACATTGTTAATTGGTGAAAGTTCAATTCAAAAATAGCAATTTTAGATATTGTTGATTGAGAGAAAAAATCGCATAAATATACAGGATTAATTTCCTCAACAGTGTACATACATCATGATTTTTACTGTCGCACAAAATGTCTTGAATCGGGATGATGTTCTCAAAATCATCTCGTTCCATTAGTGCTAGATCAATGTCTGGTTAATTAACCTCGATCAGTTGTTTTGTTGGTCGTGGCCAGTCCCCAGTACTACATTTGTTTAGTAGTCATATTGCAACAGATGAAATATTCCATATTTTATACTCATTATATTTCAGATAAGAGTAAGGTATGAGTAATTGATAGTGAGATACTAGCACCAGCTTTACACTATCAAACTCGCAAAATAAAAAAATTGTTAGGGCGACGAACCAACTTGTTTGATTAAATACCTTTGTTGATCGTACTAGGGTTCCTTGATGCAAACTGACGTATTTGTCATCTAACAGGGTATGGACAGATCATAGCTCCTTTCTCTTTTAATCATCTAGTGACTTTGGTTTCGTGTATTGGCATCCCTGACATGACATTGCTGTCACCCGACAATCATAGGCGTTAAAAGAGATCTTAAAAATTTTTTATATCATACTTTATTCAATTGCAAATCAAGGATTGAAAGAAGAGGCATATGCCCTATCATTAAAAAAATTATACCTACATTCAGGAAATATTAAATGTTCGTGAAAAACTGCAAAAATGATCAATATATACTAGTCGGGGCTAAATTCCAAAAAAAGCCCTCCGTTACAATCCTAGAAGCATTTTATGTAACAATTGGATAAATGCTGTTTACCCCCTATTTCGACCCCGCTGAATCCGAAAATACCGTTTATCAAGTCGAAATTCCAACCGGAAGTGAGATATTCAAGATGGCGTCCAGAATACCCCTGAAATCAAATTATTTTCTACTTTCGGTCAGCTATACGATTGAGGTGTCGATGTCTATATTTTTGGGGGTGTAGAATACGATGAGACACTCAAAAAATGATTTGGAGCTTTGAAAGTTCATCGAATGATCAAATTTTGACGGAATGGGCCAAAATTCCAAAGAACTTGTGAAAACGTGTTGTATAATGTACATGCTTGCATATACGTTTTCGAGGGTGCTCGATACGTTTATGAGCCCAAAAAGCATTTGAACATTGTCCAAGCCTTCATTTCTAATATTTTGAAAAAAAAAAGTTCACTATTAATAGTCTTCCTCATCTTTTCTGCTCCATTCGGCTCCCTGGAGCCATACTGCTTCGTGCCGCAGTGGCCGCAGAGCCCCATGCAGCCACAAGCTCCAAATTCGGGACATGACTTGGGAATAGGTAGCAAAGTCATCAAGATTGGGACTTAACCGTCCATCACCAATTTTCCAGCCGCTATTAATCGGGTCTGGTGAATCAAGATACTGATCATGGGCGTTAAACCACACACTAGTACCTAAAAAGAAAACAGACTAGAATTAAAATCGCTCGATTTTCTCTATTTTCATTTTCTTCTTGTTAATTTTATCTGGAAGTGGCACCGAAAAATGTGTTGATGGATGGCATCAGTGGTAGATGGCAAAAATCATTCGCACTGTCCCAAAAATTGCAACACGGGCTGCGTCTGCCGTTGTAATGTCCGGTCCAACTTGAAATAAAAATGATATCAGTATAAAAACGGCTAACAGTTCTAATTCACCATGTGTCTTAGAAAAGGGACGCAACAAACCTTGTATAAAGCTGGCAGCACAAACTGTTCAACCAAAACTGAGATCCTCGGGGGCTATATCAGGAGTCTTTCCAAGCTGACTGAGGAGTTTACAGTAGTTTTCTTCAATGTACTGCTTCCACCGTCCTGTTTTTGTGGCAGACCCTCATCAAGACTTAGTATCACATTCAGTGATTTCGTGGAAATCCATCAGATTTTCGATCTGTTGTGATGTAAGCTTTCTACATAGTTCATGAATTGGAATATACTTTCTATCTCGGGAAGGACCACACATCACCCAGCATTTCATTCTTTCAAAGTGATAGATAAATAATGAAATCACACTAGTGTCTTCAACAGAAACAACAACAGCCTCTCTTTCGGTTTTTACGCATGGAGTATATTCCAATTCACGAACTATGTAAGAAACTTGCACCACAACAGATAAAAAACCTGATGGCTTTCCACGCAATCACTGGATGTGATACTACATTTAAGTTAGTGTCAGTCACAAAAACAGAACGGTGGAAGCAAGTACATAGAAGAAAACTACTGTGAACTCCTCAGTCAGCTTGAAAAAACTCCCGATCAAGCCCCCGATGATCTCCGTTTGGTTGAACAGTTTGTGGTGCAAGCTTTATACAAGGTTTGTTGCGTCCCTTTTCTGAGACACATGGTGAATAAGAACTATTAGCCGTTTCGATACTACTACCATTTTTATTTTGAGTTGGACCGGACATTACAACGGCAGACGCAGCATGTTGCAATTTTTTGGACAGTGCGAATGCTTTTCGCCATCTACCACTGATGCCCTCTGTCAACACATTCTCCGGTGCTACTTCCAGATAAAAAAAAATTGAACAAATTGAAGGATGTTAATGTTATGTTCAGATACTAGTGTGGATTAAGGCCCATGATCAGTATCCTGATTTATAAAACCCGAATAATTACGGCTGGAAAATTGTTGATACACGATATGTCCCAATCCTGGTGACTTTGTCACCTATTCCCAATTCATTTTCCGAATTTGGAACTCGTGGCTGCAAGGGGCTCTCTCAAAATAAAAGAAATGAAGGCTTGGACAATGTTCAAATGCTTTTTTGGCTCATAAACTTATTGAGAACCCTCGAAAGGGTATGCAAGCATATACATTATGCAACCCGTTTTCACAAGTTCTCTGGAATTTTGGTCTATTTCGTCAAAATTTGATCATTCGATGAACTTTCAATGCTCCAAATCATTTTTTGAGTGTCTCATCGTATTTTACACCCCCGAAAACATGGACATCGACACCTCAATCGTATAGCTGACCAAAAGTAGAAAATAATTAGATATTAGGGGTATTTCGGACGCCATCTTGAATATCTCACTTCCGGTTGGAATTTCCACTTGATAAACGGTATTTTCGGATTCAGCGGGGTCGAAATAGGGGGTTAACGTCATTTTTCCAATTGTTACATGAAATTCTTCTAGGATTTGGCTTTTCGCTAAACAAGCCCCGACTATACAGCACACATGACATATGAGCACATTAGTTTAAATACCTACATAAAATTTTTCACCATTTCTCAACCATAAAGCTTAGTCTGAAATCAAAATGCATTTATTGGTAGGTACTACCTAAGAAGAGTCCCATTTGGTAAAACGTATTAAACTTTCAAAAAAAATTTGCTCACTGCCTCACAAAGGTTATGCTGAAGTTGAAAAATCAAAAACTCGAAAATTATCATCGTTTGGATAAAATAATTATGTAGAGTTGAATTTCCTCTATATAACCTAAAAAAACAACAAATGTCATAAATCTAGTGGTAGACACATTGAGCACAGCACGTAGTATATCTGGTCCCAGACGATTGGCTTGGTTTTCGTCATCTGACGACTCACTTTCTCAATCAGTCTCTTCCCTATCTACTGGAGGTGTCATCTAAATATCACGTCCCTACAAATGTTCATCTTTTATAATTTGTAGGAGTTGGTGTAAGGATGATCTGAGACAATAGTTTGTTCACTGAGTATGATGTCCGTTTAAATGGACGGCCATATTTCGGTGGTATTTCTTGTTACTGACAGGAATATTTTTGACAAGTTCATTTATGTATCACTACTACACATATTCTGGACGGATTTGATTTAATGTTATGTGGTAAATTCTGAAAATTGAGATGATAAAAAAAAACAAAACCTTTTTCGACGTTTCTGCTGCTATACTGACTAGCATCCATCATGAATTGATAACAGTTTCAACACAAAACAGGTAGTAAATAACAGAATAATGTACTAGCATTCGATCATCTGATCATTGAAAATAACTTCAAAATCGAAATAACTGGTTGGTAATATAAAACGTTCAAAGTTAATGATATAAATGTGCTTCCCTTTAAACGGACATTATGGCTATATTTCGAATTCAACTGGTCAGTATTGTCAGTAGATCCACTGAATCTGCTGAAAATCTATGTTCCTAAATATAAAATCAAAAATACAGTGCTGTACTTCGGGACACGTTTTCATGGTTTTCATCAGTAGTCAGCAGCAGTTAATCAGCTGGTGAAATTTGTCAGTCTGGAGTTTCTCGTTTATCTGGACTAGATATTTAATATTTAACATGGAAGAGCAATCGATTCTTGTAGCCTCCATAGTTTCTACGATTATTGACGATATATGACGATTCAGGCTCGAGTGATGAAGAATACTTGGACATTTTGTTGCCATTAATTTCTCATGATGCACCAGATCGTGAATTGAAAGATTTATAGAAAACGTAATGATGATGAATTTAGGAGACATTTCAAGTTTATTTAGTTATTTATTCAGCTAATGCTGCTTCTTCTTTTGTTACCTCTACTACTTCATACTCAATATTATTGTCAGCTCTTATTAATTCAATAACAGGTATTTTCTGATATTGAGAATAATATTATTAACAATGGAAATGAATGTTACATTCCTTCCCCCTCTAAAATAATGACAGTTCACTGAAGCCACACCACCTTCTGATACTGAGCAATTTCAGCAGAATGTTGACTTGAAATATTTGGAATGAATAGTATGTCTGCTCACAAGCATCTGTCACTTTCGGTAAATTTTTTGATTTCGGAATGAAAAATCAGTAGATCCAGTACTGTCAGTTGAATTCGGAATATAGCCTATACAGTAATGGGTTAATCATGTTTTCCTCACCACGGTCCGATATGTGATCACCATCAGGTATCAGGTTCGTGATTCTAGGATCAATGGAAACAGATAATAGAAGAGATATTTATTATACGTGTATAATACACTATTTTTTTCTGTGACAGAAGAAAGGTAGAATCAATATTGAGAAGATATTACATTATTTTGAAATATGAAAATTATCGACGTGAAATTTAAAGTTTTTAATAGTAGGGCACTTGCGTTGTAGGTATCTTTATCATTCTTTTGAAGTAATCAAATATCTAATGTCACTTCTGTCAGTCTAATTCTGTGATTTGATTTCAAAAAATTGCGAATTTAGTGGTTGTTTGGTAATATACGTAACCGCGAAGTCGAATGGAAGATGAAAGGACTTGCAGTTCTTTCTCGGAGACGGTATTATTGACTCATTTTTCGGAACTATTGTACAACAAAAGCCATCAACAGTGTATATATATGTGATATATGTATATCCGGGAAAAAGTACTCACTTCTTTTCCACAGGAAAGAAGTAATTCATGAAAAGTGACATTTTATAACCTGCCAACAGAGATGAAATGCCAAACTTTTTTCCCGTCACAGAAAAAACTTATTATTTTCATCCGAAGAATTACCTCTCGGAGTATGCGAACGTGTAGGTCACAATAATACCTTTTTCCAGCGTTGTGGCCATACCCCATGCCACCTTCAACGTGAACGAGACCATCACGTTCAAGTTGATGAAGCGGCCGAGAGGCGGTTCGGTCGCCTATCCCGACGACTACGTCATCAAAGGCGGCGACGACGTGCTGTTCCACGTGTCCGAAAGGGACGCACGAGACGTCCACTCGAAGCTGTTGTTGGCCAACGACGCTGACGTGTTGGCGATCGTGGCGAGGGAGCGGCGCGAGCTGGAGGTTCTTGCCGACGAAGACGGTGGTTCGCCCGAAAGGTAATAGTTTTTTTTTCATAGACATCTTGAAAGAGGGGTGACGAAATTGTTTATGTTTATGTTTTTTTTTTATGTTCTGGTTCCCACGAAAAGGGATATCCTGTAATGTTCAGAGAACATCGTGAGAACCAAGGGAAATAAGGTAGGAATTGGTGTTCTTAAATTTCTGTTCGTTGGATGAACGAGTCTTTGGAAAGAGATGTTCTGCAGGTCTCCAAAGTGACCACTAAGGGGTGCGAAGCCTTAACTCGACGGGTTAATCTCGCGGGGACTGCCAAGGGAGGAACAATTGTTGATATTTCAGGAGAGCATCGTTCATGAAAATATCAATAAAATAGAGCAAGATCGCCAACTTTTCTACGGTGTTTTAGAGAAGTGAGTGAGTTTGTGAGCGAGGCATCACCCACGAGACGAATTGCCCTTTTTTGGACAGAATCCAACAGTTTCAGGGTATGTTTGGGTGCTGCACTCCAATTATGGGAACAGTATTGGATCCCCATTCGAGAAAGTCCATATTTATGTTGTCAACATTCCTCTCTCGTTCGTTTCTGATTTGCCTGCCTGGTATTGGAGCCTTGGAAGAGAAGGCGGTATGGAGGGTACTATCATCCGCGAAGAGGTGTACAGGACATGGAGTTGCTTCCAACAAATCGTTGATACGGAGTAGAAATAGTTTTGGTGCTAGAATTGATCCTTGCGGAACACCAGCATTTATGATAAGAGAGTCAGATGAAACTCCGTCGACTACTACATGAAGGGACCTGTTTGAGAGAAAACTAGCTAGCAGAGAACATAGCTGGCGAGGCAAACCATAAGATGGAAGCTTGGCGAGGAGTCCGTGGTGCCAGACTCGATCGAATGCCTTGGAGATATAAAAGTGCTAAGGTTTCACCATATTTTTCAATAGATTGCTGCTATACAGTGTGGTCATTTAAGTGTGCAACATATGGGAATCTTTTTAATGAATTGCACAACCAAAATACAGATAGTGCCAAAAGTTGGTGCATGTTCGGTAATCATTTTAGGTGCACTTAGAATGGTTGCAGAATGAATTGGAGTTGCTTTCAATATGATGAGAAGATGAACCCTACGACATAATCTGCGAAGATGTCAAATAAAATTTGACACTTAGGTATAACTTGTTTTTGTCACTGAAATGTGAGAAATGTTAGATAACAAATTTGTTATCTGAAATCCAATGTCCATTTTCATCCATCCAACAATCAATGTTCCCGATGAGTTTAGTCAAATATGACGCACTAGAACTTGTAAATTTCACACATAACCTCCGTTTCTCGTTCCAGCTGTTTCATCGAACAAGCCGAATTGTTGCTGAAAGAACGCGAGGACGCTGTCTTGGACAGCATATCTACTAACATTTCTCGCTCGAACGGCAATAGTACTCCGATCGTCGAAGCTCTGGATAATCTGGAGATTCTCGATGATGCAGCTGCTGGTGTTGACGTCGACGAGTCGGACGTTGCCAGTCCACTGTCCAAATGTCATTACTTTTATCAAGGTATGTGGCCTCTATTACTCATCACCGCGATCTATATCATGGAGAACTAAAAATAGCACAATTCTGATTTGTAACATGGAAAATCCAACTGAAATATCATCATACATCATTATTGTGCAACTTTCGTTTTTTCCGGAAATGAAGTCATCTTTGTTGTTCTTTTCAATGGGACACCGTGTATTTCACCAAATTTTCGTATTTGTCTCATGAATCTGATTCAAATGCATGTATCATACCTTATACCTAAAATGAACAAACATACATTCCAATCTCGATCCCCACCGTTTCAAGGGTGATAAAACTACATTTATTATCAATGTATAGATAGGATTAATTGGCAACTGCTCAATTATGAATCTTATATTATTTATGGAACTTTAAGTGTAAATGAATATTACTTTTTTGCAAGAACATCCAGATTAGTTGTTAGAAGAGGTTCTTCTGAATATTCGAGGTGATATGTGGCTGATTCGGCATCTTGTTAAAAGAAACGTTGAAATTTCTTACTTTGCTTCCAAAAATGAGATAACAACCTCAATTCAAAAACAACTTTTGATGGACTTTCACACACATACAAACACCCTTTCACTCATAACTCAGCAACTAGAATATTCCTTACACCTTTCACTAGCTTTCAACCATATTTCACATTGATAACACATACTCTAAAAAATTGAACAAATCCACTTCCTTGCATATACACGTCGTATAACGTGTCGCAGTGTTGTCAACACGGCTTATTTAAGGCTAGAACTGGCCTTTTCAAGATGTGATCTGGAGGGCAGCTAGCGGATAGTTTTGCCATCTGAGAAACCTCTAATGTTTTTGTGGCTCCATGTAATTCAATATTTCACCAACGTGTCGCAGTGTTGTCAACACGGCTTATTTAAGGCTAGAACTGGCCTTTTCAAGATGTGATCTGGAGGGCAGCTAGCGGATAGTTTTGCCATCTGAGAAACCTCTAATGTTTTTGTGGCTCCATGTAATTCAATATTTCACCGAACTACATTAATCCAGAGTTACCTACCATTTAAAGTAGGTATGACTATAGACATTATTGATACATTATATGCTTTTATGATTCTGCTACTTCTTCCACATAATAGTGGGTGATGCTGTTACTGACTAAAGAATAACAACTGGCAACATAATTCAATATTTTATGTTATGTTACTGATTTGATTCCAGGAAAAACTATATTTGCATCCTTATTTTAGAATCATGTATGTACAAGCCATGATGCTCAATACTGACACATTCACAAACGCCTGCTTGAGAAACATCTATGCTATTTTTGAGCTTAAAATTCACGGAAAAAGTCCGTAGATCTGGGGAAAAATATGCTTCGCTTTACATGGGCTCTTATGGAGCTTCCCTCCATGCATCTCGTAATTTCCGTAGAATCTAGGGAAAAATGACTTAGAATTTTGAAAATTGCGGGGAAACTGGTACAGCTCCTTTACTAACTCCTAACTTCTTAACACAGAAATAGCGTTTTCCACTCAACTGAAATTATTATAGTCTGTGTATACATATCGTTAAAAATTACACATGATAAACAGAGAAAAAAAATGTTGGGTGCGAAAAAAGTTCAGACCAGTGCGAGGAGTGGTAAACAGTATGAAATAAGTTTTAAAAAAGCTAGATATGAGCTAGATTTCCAAAAATCTTTATCATGATCTTGCTTTTTCTGGCCTTTCTTCAATAGCACATTGGCGTTTTTCAGCAACTGGTCGTTGGCAACAGTGCATGTTGATATAAAATGACCGACCAAGGGACTGTCGGACAGTGTTGCATGACTTCTCACCACGGCTTTTTATATGGAAGGCTGCGCAAATGTTTATCATTGAAGCTATTAATTTGTGACCTACTACTAGTTGGTATTCAGCGATTCTCTAGCCGAAAATACCTATTATATCGATTCATCTCAATGTCACAATTTTTTTAAGAAAAAATAAATGATAAAACGACTTCCTGTTGCAGCCGCTGACGGCCAACACATCTACTTGCACGCCATCAACGCCAGGATGCTCGAGCACACGTACGGCTCCTTGGAGCACGGCCCCAAAACGCTGACGGGCGCCATCCTGGAGAAGGAGGGCGGCTCGATGACGGAGGAGTTGCGCAAGAGGCTCCGCTACTTGCGCCATCTGCCGTTGACCTGTCAGTTCGAGGTGGCCGAGATCCAGCTGAAGAGTCCGGTGGTCGATAAGGACACTCTGGATTACTTCCAAGGTAATTGGACCATTCCGTTTATTAAAATGTAAGAAAGCGAATCTCATTGATTACTCACAATTAAACTGAATGTTGATTGGTCAGAGTTTTTTTTACGAATTACTGGTTCTATTCTTCAGAAAATGTATTATTTCAATTTATAATTGAAATATTATGGCGTTTTGAAGTCCATTTGAGCAGTTAGTGAAGTGATTCGGTGCTAGAGAATGCAGAGTTCGTCCATAAAAATCTTACAAGTTGAAACACAAAGGGTGATTTTGATCATATATTCGTGTCTCAAGTACCAGAATAATGGTTCTTCGGAAACCCAACGACCAATCGACAACAGAACTATGTGAGCATCTTACCAAATATCCCAGCAAATTCAGTGATATGAACAATGCCACATACCATCCACTTCAACAATCGAGAATTCCGGCCATCAACACTATAAAAGCTGATAAAATTCAATTCTCATTGGTTACTTACAATTATACTAAATGTTGATTGATCCGAGTTTTTTTACCTGGGCGTTCCATGTGTTCAGACTTTTTGAGGCAGTGTGATACTATGATGTTGGACCAAATTTTTTACATTCAACACCCACATTACAAATTTATGCAAAAAATTATCTTCTGGTTGTTTTGCAGTAAGAGTCATCTCATCTGAATTGAATATATCTGCAGCAAGATCAGTTTATTTTGCCCTGATTGACTCAATTTTGAGATATGAAGTTTGTTTTTGGGGGAATAGTTCTCAATTTCTTTTGATCTCTGTGTTCATATTACAAAAGAGGGCGGTTAGATACCTTAGTAAAGCTAAATTCAGAGAACCATGTCAACCCTTATTTGTGGCACAGAAAATACTGACATTGACTTGCCTCTTCATTCTAGAGAGTGTATGTATGATCCACAAAAAATATACCACGAACATTCATTCGATGTCGGTATACAACACAAGAAATGTTGACTGTGCGGTTTCCCTACTAATTCCTAGAAGTACATTAATAAAAAAGTCTTTTATTTATAATGCCAAACATATGTTAATCACCTGCCTTCACATATTTGTTCATTGCTAACACATATTGAGTTTAGAAAGGCAGTAGAAGAGCTACTACTGAATAAAGCCTATTATACCTTGCAAGAATTTTATTAAGATGCATTTAATTAAGTTTGTCAGTTTGTATAATTCGTTTTTAATTGTTCAATATCTTTTTTTATAGTGTGACTTTTACTAGTATATGTTCTACCTGAATGTTTTGTTCCATATTTATGTGCATATTTTACATGATTTTATGTAGTTTTGATATAGTTATAGTTATGATACACATGCTTTGTCAACAAAAACTTTTGGTTTTTAGTACCATAAAGACTTTCTTCTTCTTATTATTATTACTGGTTCTATTGGTATTCGTTATTGAAATATTATGGCATTTTGGAGTTCTTCTGAGGAAGCCAATGATAAGTGAAGTGAATAGTTTTTTTAAGCATTACTTGGTTCTAGTTCAGGTTTGATATTCAGAAAATTTATTAATTCAATCATAGTGTTTCAGTATTCTTAATCACAATTGAAATATGGCGTTTTGGAGGCCTTTTGAGGAAGCCAACGAATATAGTGTTACTTATTTGGAGCTAGAGTATGAGCCCATGACTTCTTGAAACTCATATGTAAATAATTAACGATGTGTACTACAAAAGAACCATTATTCATTCAGAATATGAGTTCGTCGCCATGAAAGTATAATGATTGTATTCAATGCCCATAGCCAAATATTGTCAATTTTTTTTGCTCTATAGGACAGTCCGCTAATACGCTCTACAATCAATCGTCATACACATTTTAGTTAAGAATGTCTTCGATGTAAATGATTGATTTGGATTTTGGATTTGGAATGGGGCCTTCTGGCTATCTGCCTCCACACTGCGACCTTTTCAGATCTATTGTGTCTGCCCTCAAAATCGATTAGAGTTCTTCGGCTAGCCCCGCCTTCTCTATGAGACTCCATAGGCTAGCTTTCAGATCTCCTGTGTATCTCTGGGCTCCTGGTTCTTCCTCGCCCAGCGTAAGGAACCTTAGTCTTGACAAGCCCTCACAGTGGCAAAGTATGTGTACTGCTGTTTCTTCCTCTTCTTGACAGAACCTGCACAGCAGTTCTTCAGTCAGGCCTATCGTACTCATGTGTTTGTTGAGCCTACAATGCTCTGTGAGAAGTCCCACTAGTATTCTAGTTGAACTTCGTTTCTGGCTTAGTAGATATTCTGTGAATGTTGGCGATGGTTTTTTAATAAACTCTTTAACCTGTCTCATTCCTGGCAAGTTGTTCCACCTCTTGAGATTTGGTTTGCATCCATGATGTAAATGATATGCGACCTATAATTTTTTCACCCTGTGGAAGTCACGACACAAATTCATTTAGAAGGTGCCGATTTCAATTTTTGAAAATAACGAATGAATCAGCAAATACTATCTATACACGGTATAATCAATATAAATTAGGTATGTGGCACCTTGTGTATAACTATCCGTGTAGTAAAATATCACATCTGATAATCAGACCAACTGGAGATATGCAAAAATTTGCGTCAGCGCAAAGCCAAGGAGGAGAAACGGCGAAAAAAAAAAGCATCAAGATCGAGGAGAACAAGCGTATCAATACGAATTCCATCAAAAGTTCGAAATTTTGAAGTTGGATTCGAACTGACATTATGACAACACTGAACCATCATGCCAAAAGCAGCGCTCAGCGTAAAACGGTCTATATTTCAGCGTCATCCGTCACTCCCTGAAATGCCTAGTCATTCCACGTATTGCTGGCAAACAGCGTAACTACATTTGGTTCACCGTTTAATAGTTTCAGGCATCCCCTGTAGTTCATTAAGGCTGAATAAGGTTGGGGTGCTGAGAAATAGTAGTCGCCTTCCGAAATATATACTTTCTATGTAGGTTCATTTAGGCCGAGTCAGATTAGGTTGTTTAGAAACAGTTATATCTTGTTCTCTCGAGTGATTTTTCCGAAAAATATTCTTTCTAGGAAGAAGGTTCATTGAAGCCGGGTAAGGTTAGATGAGTTCAGGAAATGTAGTATCCTTTTTTATGCTTAGCAGAAAGGGTATTTTCCTTCCGTCTAGCTAAAATGTGCCAAACGCTGAATTGCACTGTTTGTCTGCAATATGTGACTTGACTAGGCATTTCAGGGAATGGCGGATTTCACTGATTGACGCTGACATATACACGGTCAATCACTTTTCATGGTTCTTAGCCAGACTAACAACAAGGCAAAAAGCGTCGTCAGCTCAGAGCCAAGGAGGAGAATCGCCGCGGAAAACGTATCCAGATCGAGAAGAACACTCACACTCACTTACTGCTCAACTATTTTGTATTTACTAAATCAAAATCAGCTATATAAATTTCAAAAATCACAGAACCGATCAATAGTCATAATCATTTCTTGCAATAGACGTACTCCTATTACAACAATGTTGAACAGACTAGAATGGTTGTCAGTAAAAAAATGTTCATTGTACCAGGCACTCATTTTTTTTCATACAAAAGAGGCAATGGCAGAATACCAGACTACTTAGAGATAAAGTGAACTATAATTTCGAATATCACCACTATGAGTTAACGATTGGAATTTTGTGTTTGGGGTTCACGAAAGTTGAATTTTTGAATTGTAATTTAAAGTGGGATGATTATGATATTTTATAAATAACTACATCCTACCTGATATTATTGCTTCCTGTAACATATGTTCACTACCAAACATCAATAAAAATAAGGTTTTATTTTGAAAGTTAATTGATAACCAATTTTTCCTTGATAAATTCTTGCGAGAAGTGGACGATTCCAAGAGAATGGAGGCGAGAGACACCCCGTTCGAGACTTTGTTCTTTTATTGATCTGCACATGACAGTCTTCCTACGAGGCTAGCTATTTACCTTCATTCACAGAACACGAAGCACACAACCATTGTCTGCTAGATATGGAGAAAAAATCTAGTGAGCTGGAGTATTTGGTCTGCTCAAACAAGGGATCTGTGGCCGATATAATAGTAGTACCCCCATACGGTCAACTGGAGGGTACACTTTTTCAATTGTTTTCCAGTCAAACCTACATAACCTTGTAAATCGTAAATGAGTTGAGGGAGCTTCAGCGGTGCTCTCGGCAGTCTCGGCCGGCGGCGTAGTTTGTTCAGCGAGTTTGAGTTGAGTTACGACATAGTCACGGGTCACGGTCACTCAGTCACTCAAAAATGGTTCATGCAGATATGGAGATATGACAGATATGTAGAGACCGAGCCCCCTCACCAACTCCCTTACTGGCATACTGGCCCTTACAGCCCTAGATCAGAGATTAACGAAATACGGAATTCTGTGCAAATTGATCTCGATAATGATGGCGTGAAGCGTGAAATCAAAAATACTGGAAACAGCTCGGAAAGCAGTGACTTGAGCAGTGATTCCGATTTTATGGTTTGTGCAGTTTATTTGGTGTGCTCAGCTGTGAATCAAAATTGTGGAAATGAAGTTTTTCATCAAAAATAAGCAAATATTTGGCTATAATAGAAGGAAAGGAATCATGATTATCTTACTTGTAATGAGCCTGTTACGTTCAATATCGAATGTATCCACTTATGTTGCAAGTAAATATTACTTGGAAATCCATGAATGGAGACGGTTTCACACTTTCTGGTAAGCACAATTGAGAGATAGAGTTTGTAACAAATTATCAATCAGAATAAACCACTATAATACTGGGAGCACAACACAAAAATATATAAACGATGGGAATATTAGAACAATGTGAATTGAAAAAGACTGTATTTTTTTAGGAAAAAATACGTCAAGTCACGATGACACGACAGCTCTTGACACTGACAACTTACATAACTACAAATTTCGAAAATTTTCTAGAAAAAAGTGAAGATCATTTCGTCCGATATGGTAACATCCTCTGGTGGTCATACACTCAACTGAGCTATAGGGAAGACCAGTAGTTACAGCTCACTAGATTTTTTTCTCCATATTTAGCTGACAATGCACCCAACACTTCAGTCAAATGTTAGGCAACGAGCATCATAGGCGTACTATAATTATTATTATGTGCTATTATTTATCTATAACATGAAATGAGATCTAGAAGAGATTTCCACATTCTCCATTCCGGAAAAGATATATGCAAAACTCAATTTTTTTCAAAAGCTTAAGAGCATTCAACGACCAACTGCAATGAAAAGTATGTAATGATGCTGTTTGACATATTTCTGTTTTGTATGTACAATGTATCAGTTTTATGACTAACTTGGCTTATATATGTATATGAAAAGCGAATCGGCAGGTACCCGGTTACTAACTTGCGGCTGCACTCGGACATTGAAATTTGAAATGATCTTGACATGACAACACTGATTGTGACAGATCTTATGACAGAATCGTAAATGCTGCCAATACAGAAAAATCAAATAATGATACTCAATTTGTCAAAAGCACCGCTCAGCGTGAAATGGTTTATACACGGTCATTCATTTTTCGCGGCTCTTTTCCAGACTACGCAAAAAGCGACGCCAGCACATAGCCAAGGAGGAGAAATGCCGTGAAAACAGATGGAGATTCAGGAGAATAAGCATAATAATATAATATAACTGAGTTGATGAAACACGGAAAACGAATCACACAACAGCCGGAAAACCGTCAATAACAACAAAAACGGCAAATTACATTTCTTACAACGATTATTACTCGTCTACTACGAAAGTCTGCTAATTTATGCTTAGTTGAATGAGACGTTTCATCCGAAAAATCCTCTTGAATAGAGCACTGTCAGTACATTTTCCATAAGGGTACACGTTACTTTATTACACATTTCCCACTATAACAATACCTGGAGCATTTATTCATTGACATGTTTGTTAATTCATTCATTCAGTATGCCCGACATTGTAATGTCTGGCACCACCATCTCCACCAAGCCCACCATATCTATGCTCGGTATTTCCATCAGCAACACTTTCATGGGATAATCATGTCAGATTCATCGCAAAAGCTGCTTCACAAAAACTCGGATTCTTGTTCCGTGCGAAAAGCTACTTTATACCTCAACAGCTTCTCATGACCTACAAAGCGCAGATACGGCCTGTTCTAGAATACTGTTCCCACATATGGGGTTCAGCACCAAAACATACGCTGATGCTCTTAGATTCCATCCAGAGAAGAGCCATCCGCCTGGTGGGTGACGCCACACTCACTCACTCTTTGACATCATTGGAACACCGTAGAAAGGTCGACGACCTTTCACTTTTCTATCGATACTTCCACGGGGAATGTGCTTCGGAAATCTCTGCTATCATCCCTTCACTAGCAATACCAGTCAGACGAACTAGACAAGCCCAGTCAGCACATCCTTTCGTTGTCAACCTCGAAAGATGTCGAACAGCACTATATCAAAACTCCTTCATCCATAGAACGGCTAGGCTCTGGAATTCATAAACATATAATCTCCAGAAGTTCAAAAAAAATTCCAATACCTACCTCCTATCCCTATCCTCCCTAGGAACGCACGATGTTCTTTGAACATTATAGGGATTCCCTTTCGTGCGCTCCAAGCGATAAAAAAAATCCTGAATACTGTGAGAAAAGAGAATGAGTCCAATGAAGAGTTTATATTGGTTTATTTGTGAATAAAATTATATATACCAAATATACCCCAATAGATACTCAGTTTGCAACAACAAATACACATTTTTATCATATAATATCTACAAGTTCAAGAAAATCACCAATGGGTCAGAAATAATAAAATCAACAAATTACTTTGTTTGTCCCCCGATAGGCTGATAGAAACGACGAGTGCGCCATGTTCTGACGTCAGCTGACACTGCTGTGATGTCTTTTCTACACAAGAAATAAGCAAAAAAATCACTCTTTTCAACGGCCATTCATTTTTCGCGGGTTTTTTTCCAGACCAACTGGACATACGCAGAAAGCGGCGCCAGCACAGAGCCAAGGAGGAAAAACGGCGCGAAAAGCGGATCGAGATCGAGGAGAACAAGCGCATCGGCAAGTACCCGGTGCCGAACCTGCGGCTGGACTCGGACGTGCAATTCCCGGAGTTTGCGGTCGAGCCAAGGTTCAGGACGGAATCGGAGAGCACGTTGCCCAGCGAGAGGAGCGGCTCGCCGGACTGCGGCGTGGGTTCTGAGGGCGGCTGTGTCGGGCCTTCTTTCGCCACGGTGAGTGAGAAAAGTGTCTAACCTGCAAATAATAGTATATTACACACCGAGGTGGGAAGGGAGTTATTCCTGTCGTGAAATTAGTTAGTTAACCAAGACGCAAAGCGTCGAGGTTAGCTATAATTTCGAGACAGGAATAAAACTTCCTACCGAGGTTTGTATACTATTTTATTTACAACCATCATATTTCGATCAAAATTAATAAATCTATGTTTCGTTCTGAACATACCTGAATTTTTACATGAGTGAGGGCGGGAAGTAGTGAGGGGCGGGAAGTAGTGAGGGGAGGAAGTAGAGAGGGGAGGAAGTAGAGGTGTGTAATGTGACACTTCCCAGCCTTCAATGACGGTAGTAATGACGACATTACATACAGGGTGTCCCTAGACCAGTGGGACAGTTGGATATCTCCTGAACCAATAGGAATTTTCGAAATATTATAATTCCACATCATATCGCATTATGAGTGCTAACTTCAGGAATGACTATATTTTCTACGAGGGGCGCAAGAAAGGCTCACAAAATCGAACATCAATTTTTTCAAATGGAACACCCTGTATTTCATTGCATTTTTATATTCTCCTTGAAGAGCTGAATTCAACGACCTAGCACACTTGGGCTCTAGCGGGAATGATTTCCGAGATATAGGGTGTGAAAAATCGAGATTTTTCATTTTTGGGAATTTTTTGTGTCAAAACTATTCATTATTGGTCAAAACTGCTCACATGTCCATATCTCAACTTTTGATTTACTATTTACTCGTATTTAATTGAAACAAATACAGGGTGGTGTGGAATTCCGACTGAAACTGAGAATTCTACACCACCCTGTATTTGTTTAATTTAAATACGAGTGGATAGTAAATCAAAAGTTAAGATATGGACATGTAAGCCATTTCGACCAATAATGAATAGTTTTGGCACAAAAAATTACCAAAAATGAAAAATCTCGATTTTCCACACCCTATATCTCGGAAATCATTCCCGCTAGACCCCAAGTGTGCTAGGTCGTTGAATTCAGCTCTTCAAGGAGAATATAAAAATGCAATGAAATACAGGGTGTTCCATTTGAAAAAATTGATGTTCGATTTTGTGAGCCTTCCTTGCGCCCCTCGTATAAAATATAGTCATTCCTAAAGATAGCACTCATGATGCGATATAATGTGGAATTATAATATTTTGAAAATTCCTATTGGCGCAGAAGATATTTAACTGTCCCACTGGTCTAGGGACACCCTGTATATGGTTGTAAATAAATAACTTTATTGATTGTCTTTATAACCCCAAGAAACGTTATTGTTTATAATAGGGATATATACAACAAAACATACATATAACATAATAAATGGAATCAATAATAATTGCACAATTATTGTTTTTCATAAAAAAATTTATTATAAAACAAATTGAAAATATTATAATCCATTACAAGTAATCAAATTGTGAATGATTAGTTGATATGGAATTGAAGTTTACCTGAGCAGATATTTCTTTATTTTGATTTTAAATTTTTCTGCTTCTATAGTTTTCAACTCATTAGGTAAGGAGTCATATAAAATTATTCCATTATGGAATATTGATTGTTCACCAAAATTTGACTTATAATTATTTGCTATCAATAAATTAAATTGCCTTGTTTCATGGGCGTTAATCATATTAACTTCATTAAAATTCAAATTTCATATTCTCAATTCCTTCCTGACAAAATGAATAACACAAATTTTATAATATTATATAATGAAACTAGATTCAGCGAGTTTTTAGGTTTGTATAGCTTTACGATTCCAAAAAAGGTAAATTGAAAATGCACTTTATTGTTTTATTTTGTTATTTCCTGAGTGGCTTCAAACGTGAAATATTTGTACTTCCCGGAATAGATATTAGATATTGTAAATTTGAATAAAAAAGACAGAAATAAATCTCTAGGTATCTAACAGGAATGACATTTTGCATTTTATATATAATACCAGCGATAGGATTCAATTTAAATTGACCTAAAAATTTTGATTCGTTTGTATATTCAATGGATTTGCTATTGAAACAAATTGGGGTATTATTCAATATATCCGTTGTTCTTCTTGAGATGTACATATATGTAGATTTACTAAAATTATTATGCCTATGTACGTATATACCTGTTTTCCGCAAAACGACCACGGAAGTAGGTAGTTTTTTTTCTTCGATATGTTTGATTTCAAACAAGCTTGTATCAGTTTTTACGTTTGTATGTTTGTATGTAACACGGAGTCTATGAACGTGATTTTCACCCACTTCAAAATGTGGAATGGGCCAGTGGAATGATAATGAATTATTGGCATTCAATTACTCCACTGTCGTTTGGAACTTAAATTAATTTTTGCAATACTTCTCACGCTTTTTTACGTAAATAATCTGTCTATGCCTTGTTCAAAATTGTAGAATTTCAGAGCTCATTTCAAACGAACCGTCATGGCCGCCATTTGGTGATATGTCGAATAAATGGTGACGTCAGTTTTTATGCTGTTTAGTTATTGGTCAGATAATCTTCCATTTCCACTCATGAAGCAAGGTTGTCAAGTCACCATTCACAATCGTCGTAGTTTGTCTTTGAATAAAACATAATAGGAGGAACCCATGATATTATAGTTCATTCTTGACATTTTTGAGCAACCAACATGTTGAAATATTTCTTATTTTCCATATCAAAATATCATGTAAATGTTGAAGACTTGGCAACATTGTCCTGAATGCTGAGAAATGTCAAGACCACGTCCACAATTCGTGCGCTGTTGTCACGATCACCGATTCGAATGTCCTCTAGTGTGAATTATTATAATTATTATTTACACGAATTTATCATAAGCAATAAACCCCAAATCATAAGGGAACATTTTGATACAATTGCAGGTATAGCACTAATGATGGCTTAATAGTCGGAAGCGGTTTGAAATTGAATAATGAAATAGTCACATGAAATACAGGTTTCTACTTTTAATGCATACATTAATATACTAACTCAACTCAATTCAGCGCTATTCATATTGGAACTGCGTAATTCCCTGATGGTGGATAAATCGGAATCCAGTTTCGGATCTTTGAAATCTGATACTCTTTCATAAGGCAATTATTGCGCCAATAATGGGCGAGTGGTTTTTGTTTGTTTTTGTACTGTGAATAGATTAACGAAGATTGACAGCTGACATGATGTCAAATGTATGTACTACATGCGGTTTATGTACAGCAACCTTGGACTTTTCTGTCGCACAAAATGTTTTGTATCGGGATGACGTTTTCAAAAGTCATCTCGGTAACATACGTGCTAGATCAGTGTCTGGTTAATTAACCTCAACCAATTGTTTTATTGGTCGTGGCCAGTCCCCAGTACTACATTTCATTATTATTTATCTCACAGCAGATGAACATGATATATTTGACATTGTGATGAAGATTGATTTGGTCCATAGAACGAGTCTTGAAAAAATACATACTTCAGCAAAAAAAAGGTCTCCTGTAATAAGTGAAAAAAATAATCATGGGTACTTGAACTTTTCTAAACGTTTTCCCAAATTCCAAAGAATTCTAGTCGTTTGTTTTTTCATGAATATACCTATAAACACATCAATTCTTCCTGCAAACTCTTGAAAATGATTATGATATATTCAGAATTATCAATTCTCAAAAAGGAAGAAAACATGAAAAAAGTCTGCATATCTCGAAAAAGGTTAGACTTGGGTATAGAGAAAGCTGATTAAGATCATATTGAAATAACGTGAGGGATCTGGAAAAGCAATAAAAAATTTTGCTTTTCATTCAAAATAACGAAATTACATTTTCCGATAGATAGAATAGAATAGAATAGAATAGAAAAATATTTATTGTAATAATATAATTATTACAAGAGGGGTACGTTCGCATAAACACGTTCTTCCACGCCCCCTTTACCAGGTACATTCAAGTTAAGATAATTACAAAACAACAAAAATCTAATATCAAATACATAAAAACGATCTAAAATTAATGAAAAAAAAAAAAACAAAAACAAATAATATATATACACATTAATATCATTCTAAAACTATCACAGATGGTTTGATTCATTGGATTGTCTTGCTAGTAAACTATCCCTGAATAATGTTTTGAAAGAAACAACTACCTTGCAACATATCAAAATTATCGATATTATTCATAAAACTGACTGATAGATGAGCAAAGCAATCTTCAAATTTTGATGTTTTGTGCTGGTGAATATCGTATCTCCACATATTTCGAAGTTGTCGATCATGAATTTCATTTCTTGGGATAAGATAATTATGCAAATATTCTGGTTTTTTGTCAGTATAGATTCTAAAAATATATAAAGCAAAAAACATTTGATATCTGTAATTTGTTTTAAGATGTTTATTATCATTGTAAATAGCAGTAACATGATCAAACTTTCTTACGTTGTATACGAATCGCATACAAGAATTCTGAGCCAACTGTAATTTATTTTTAAGTTCAATTGTCAGGAAGCTGTAGTACACTGTCATACAGTAGTCAACTTGTGGATAAAGGAGAGTCTCAACTAATTTATACTTGATTTTTTCATTGAGGATGAATTTGAATTTATACAATGACTTCAGTTTCATGAACATAATTTGAATTTTCTTATTAACGTGTTCCTCAAAATTGAGTTGAGAATCAAAAATAACACCAAGATTCCGACATATGTTTTTGTGTGGGATTTCTTTGTTTTGGATATGTATCGTTGTGAAGTTGAAATGATTTACTCTATTTATCAAACCCGCGTTCCCTATTAGCATGTAAGCACTTTTGTCAGCATTCAAACAAAGTCCGTGATCTCGGGACCAATTATATATTCTCTCCAGATCATCATTGATTTCTTGAAGAGCATAACTCGAATCTGAAGGTCTGAAAGTTTTAACTAATTGCGTGTCATCAGCATAAAGATGGACTTTGCAATTTGATACTATTGTAGACAAATCGGCAGTATATAGAATGAATAGTATGGGTCCCAGAATGCTACCTTGTGGTACTCCATGCCTCATTGTCACAAGATCTGATTTGACTCCATCAATTTCAACAATTTGCTGTCTGTCTGTCAAGTAGTCAGTGAACCACAAACATGCTATTTCTGAGAAACCCATGAATTTCAATTTGGCAACTAACAATTTCCTGTTTAGTAGGTCAAAAGCTTTACTATAATCTAGTAAAACTAGGCAAGCTGCCTCTGCTTTATCTAGCCCCTCAGCTATATCTGTAGTAACTTTATGGAGTGCTGTCGACGTACTAAATTTAGTTCTGAAACCAGATTGTATTTGTGGCAATAAGTTATTAGTGTCTACATATTCACTCAGCATGTTACGAACAACTTTCTCACATAGTTTTGATAATATTGGAAGAATATTAATTGGTCTTAGATCATCAAATGATTTTGGGTGATTAATTTTTGGTATAGGCTTCACTAGCGCAAATTTCCATATAGATGGTACATTACCTGTTCGCAAGGACATGTTTATTATATCTCTGATAGTTCCCACAATTATAGGCAGACTCCATTCTATCATATCATAGCTTATTTCATCTATCCCCATACATTTTGATCTCAGTTGTTTGAAAGCACTCACCACCTCATCATTTGTTACTATTGAAAAATTGTAGTTTACATTTTCTTGAAATTTATCATTCTTGTAACCATTTATAAAATTCTCTGTGACAGGAGTTATGAGATGTTCAAGATCTGAGAATTTGTCATTTATTTTTTGTACATTTCTCAATTCGATTGGTATGTCAGTCACCTTATTGTTAGTAATACCCCAGTTATTGAACTTTGCCCATAGTTTCTTAGAGTCCTTGCTAATTCTACTAATTTCATGATTCATGTATGCAGTTTTTTCTTGCTTGATAGCAATAGATAGATAATTCTTCAGATCTAAATAGTAATCTTTATGTATCTGTAGATTAGTCTTTTTAAACCTAGTATATGCCTTTTTCTTAAGTTTGATGATTTCTTTTATTGTGTCCGTGATATATGGTTTGTGTGGGTGCTTTATCTTTATAGTCATCATGGGTGCGTGTATATCAAAAATTGCTATAAGCATATCATTTAGGCAATTAACTCTCTCACTAATATCCTCTATTTCAGAAGCTATTCCATTCAATCTGATGCATATCATGATTGAATGCATCCAAATTGAATGTTTTAAAATCCCTATATGTTAAATGTTTTTGTATTTTCCCTATTATCTCTAATTGTATATCACAATATGTAAGTCTGTGATCAGTAATATTATACATTTCCATTGTTCCTGATTTAATTACATTAAGTTCAGTCTCCACACATATCAAATCTATCAAACTACTGCTGGTTCTGCTAACTCTTGTTGGCTCTGTTATTACTTGTTGCATGTTGAATAACTTTAACATATCTATAACAACCTTTCTATCCCTATCATTACACAGTACATCAACATTTAAATCACCTACCAGAATTGTGAAATCAAACTGAGCAGCCAAAACTGATAGGATATGTTCAATACATTTTAAATTATTTATGGAAACAGAGGGTGGTCTATAAATTATTCCAAATAGTATTTTATGATTTTTAACGTTAACATACATCCAAAGTTGTTCAACACCACTACTGTTATCACAAATAATGAAGGATGTGTCTATCACCTGTGCGCTTATATCTGATGAGATGTATGCTCCTATCCCTCCACCTCTTGTTTTCCTGTCATTACGATGAAAAGAGTAACCCGGAATTTTCAAGTATGTGCTAGGGTAATCCTCTGATAACCATGTCTCCGTTAACGCCAGTAGGTGGTACTTTTCTTCTTGGATAATTTCTCTGACATCATCGATGGACGGAATGAGCGATCTTATATTCACATGGGATATTCTGAGATTGTTTCGAGGTTGACTTTTATTTTCTTTAGGTAATACCTTCACACCATTTACTTCCTGATGTGCTGCTGCTTGTTTGTTTTCCTCAGCGTCGGTAGTCTCTGATTGCTATTTTGGTAAGCTAGACCTCATTTCTTCTAATTTCTGCGTGAGTACATGACAGTTTCTATCCCATGCTGCATGGTTTGTATTCATGTTGGAATCTGTTCTGGTGTTCATCTTGCTACAGTTTGGACATTTCAAGACTTCAGCCTGACAGTCTTTAGCTTCATGTGCTTCTGAGCAACGAGGACACACAATATTGTTTTTACAGTTTTTTGCAAGATGATGAAAACCACAGCATTTGTAACATCTCCTTATTTCCGCTCCATCATATACTGGGCAGTAATCATAACCGATAATAACATAGCTCCTTTCCAAGAGCCTCTTGTATGTTATAACATCTACTTGCATTAAACACTGGTAGAGTTTTTCTTTGTTTCTGTGTGGTTTGAAATTGATTAGTTTGACTAATTTATCATTCTCAATATCTGACTCGTTTTGCTGGGTGAAAAGTTGTAGTAAGGTATCCTCCGAGTGTCTTTCATCGATAGATGTTGGTGAAAGAAAAGAAGCGGGGGTTGCAGGTCCCTTGGTTTGTATAGTCAGATGTTGATTCCGAAAATGGTAGTTTATAAATACAATCTATGGCTTTATTTTGAAGAGATTTTAGAGATTTCAAAACAGATTTTGCTGCAGTAGCCCAGATCAGATAGAACAATGGGCATGTTTGAGTGAAGAATTTTATTTCAATATTTCGAAGTATCAACCCTAACTAGTTCACTGTAGCAAACCGTTTTTTCCTCAGAGCTATGATGTAACTTGTTTAAATAATTATTGAAAAACGCGGGAAAACGCGTGACGTAATTATCCGAGAACACCATGTAAGATTCGATCTCTGGTAGAAGTCCATGTTCGCTCAAAGTAGAGTTGAATTTTTCAAAAGAAAGAAGGAAAACTCAAATGGCGTGTTCTTACGGCGCACGAGGACCTTAATATTTAATGAAAACCCGTTTATCCTCAACCCCTCTCTTCACCAATATAACCAAGATATTATGATGAAGACATCGGCATCCAATATAAAATACTGTTTCACCTCCATTAACTTCTAAAAACGACTGAAGAAGTTCGAAACATGTCCCCTTGATTGATTTACATCATTAATTTAGTAGTGGAGATGACTTTGAGCTCTCCTCCTTCCTTTTGATATAAGATTCGACTTACGTATCAATTCTCTATTTCTGATAAACAAGTGCAACAATATTTCGGATTGTCATTTCAATCAGGATATGGAATGAATTTTCTGGATTGAATACTTACCCAAATAACAGAGAACTCAACACTCAACTAAACAGTCAGACAATATAAGGATTATCTTTGAATATTCGCACCCTGATTAGATGAAACGATGAAAGGATTTGACGATGGAGATAACAGCCGATATTAACGTCAGGAAGTTGGGTTGACAATGTCTTTTTTTTTTGTATTTCTAGGAACTTAAATTAAATAAACACACTCGCCCGGCGCCTCCACCATGTCACTATAAAAAATAAAGTTAATCCATCCTTATCGATTTATAAGCTGGCTTGATAGTTTGCGAGAGGTAATATTCAAACAGGCACTAATAGTTCAGGGGTAGCTGAAAGTGCGAGTCTATATTCAAAGATAACAATATGTCTTGAAGCATGAAACATTATGGGTAGCGATGACACATATGAATAGACAACAATGAATATAAAGACCTAATAACAACTTACATTATAATGACCATTACGACGAGCTCTTGTCAAGTCAAGAGTAGCCCCAGACCAGACTTACTTCGTAACCCTCACATCCAATATTTATATATATAATTTCATTAGATTTGCACGTTACTCATGAGAGTTGCTTGGTCAGTTTTCATAGTTCAATGTCAATGTTATATATATAATGATATACCGTATGTTCTACTCGTGACAATATCAATCGTTATTAGGTATACTAGGATAGCTTTATTGGTACTAAAGCATCTTGCAAGTATATAAGTATTCAATAAGTGAATATTTTGGACCAGGTCGAACTATTATCTTCTGTGAATGTGAATATTATTGTCATTGGTCATATTTCACCTCATAAGGTATTTACTAGTTAGAAATCTGGCAGCGTCGAAATATGTGGTCTTACTTTTTATGCGAAATTTGGTCCATGACGTCATCAAACCTGGCGTTTTTCGAAGTCGCCGAATTTAATTACTGAAAAAAAAATTGGCGATGATTACTATTTATACAGGGAATGATCAATATAAAATTGGTATGTGACGTAAATTCGACCAGTGTACAACCCCATTTAGAGTAAATCAAACTGAAATGGATCAATTTGAATTATTTCAGGGATATAAAAGACCTCAATTTGTACAATATGCCAACAATGGGAGATATCATTTTCCTAAGCATTCAAATATGCGATGACCAAGATAAAGACTGGTCTATAATTGAACCGAAGAGTATTGCTTTTTTCCCAGGATTTATGCAAAAAATTTAAAGTTCTCTTTTCTTGTAGATGTTGGCGAAAGAAAAGAAGCAACCCCCGTCGTGGCCGATATTGAAAAGTAGCGGCCCGGAACCGTTGAAACTGATCAGCGTGACCGGTGCCAAAATGAAGGCGGGCGCAGGCGCACTTTATCGCCCTGCGAGCGACAGCGACCCGGAACCGGAAGGGTACGAACCGGTGCCGTCGTTCAACGCCAGCTTCGGCGATGCCATCGCGCAGGCGCTCCAGCAGGCCGAGAAAACTGAGGAGGAGGAAGGTGAGGGGAGACATGAAATTTCATTCATAAGTCATTTGTTTGGAATCATACATACAGGGTCCGGCACTGAAACTTTCTTTTTTCTATGAGACGTTAGGGCGCGACTGGAGATGATTGCGGCGCGGCAGTGCTCTTGAACGTTGGTGGGTAAATTTATTTCTTAACCGTCCGAACTACTCCGAACCATCGTCAGTCCTGGGTGGAAGATTTTAGAACACTTGGCAATGTGTCCCGCAGGAGATCAGGTGCCACACGGACCGTTAGAACACCAGCAAACATCGAGGCAGTCCGAGAATCGGTTTTGCGATCTCCTAGGCGCTCTGCTTCAAAACATGCAGCTGCCCTGCGGTTGTCGGAGCGCTCAACTCGCCGAATTCTTCATGACGATTTTGTTTCGCGACAAAGGGCATGCGAAACGCTCTGTGATAATTTGCCTCCTGAAGCAGTTGTGTTTTTTAGTGATGAGGCACACTTCCATCTCCCCGGTTGTGTTAATTAACAAAATATGCGTTATTGGAGCGATATCAATCCAAGGGAAGTTCATCAGAGGCCTCTTCATTCGGATCAGGTCACAGTTTGGGCTGCGATATCAAGCGTGGGAATCATTGGGCCATATTTTTTTTGAGGAGGAAAATCGCAAGGTTATAGTAAACACTGAGCATTATGTGGCAATGATTACCAACTTCTTTCTGCCAGCTCTTGAGAATATGGATATAGGCGAAGTATGGTTTCAGCAAGATAGGGCCACAGCCCACATCACGAATTTCGATGGTTGTTTTGCGGGAAAATTTTCTAGGGCGACTTATCTCCAACAGGGGTGACATACCGTTTATATGGGGCTACATCAAATCTAAAGTCTATAACAACCGTCCTGAAACTGTGGAAGAATTGAAAAACAATATTCGTAACGAGATGGTCAATATACCGGTTGCAATGCTCGAAAGAGTCCACATAAATAGAAATCGGCTACAACAATGCATCAACAGCAACGACAGACACTTGTCAAATATGCTTTTTAAGAAATCTTGATTTGAAACTTCCCATGTAAATGCTTAATTCTAATAATAAAAGAAAATGAAATGTATAGTTTTATTTTTCACCTTCAAGAAAGAAAGTTTCAATGCCAGGCCCTGTACTTCCAAAGTTTCAAATGAGTTTAAAAAAGATGGCTTTAAAAAATGGCAACGCTGTAAACTGTGCGTCAATGTTCACACTTTTCTTCACAAGTCGCTTAAGTTAAGCGAGGGGCAAGACAATTTTATTTCAATGACAATGCTATTATACCAATTGAAAAATGTTTGGATGTAATCTTGATTTTATCACCAAATATTTCGTAGTACCTCATCAGGTACTTACCTAATTTTGATCCATCATTCAGTGGAATTTGAACAAAAACAAAACAAGGTTTCTTGCAAAAATTTTAATAACCTTAACCTAAAGTTTAATAACCTGCACCTGCTACCTGTTTAATAACTACACCACTGCTCAAGTTAAAAGAACCTGTATATCCTTGGGGTGTGCATGGTAAACTCTTTCACAATCCACGCACTGGTGAACCATGAAAGATATTTAATAATAATTGAATTATATAGTTTCATAACAAGAAAATACTAAAAATGAATTAGAACACAAAAAGTCCTGAAATGATAACAAACACAACGAAACAACACTGTTACATCGGATTTTGACATACGTGAATTACTTTGAGAAGTATATGTGTAACTCATAGTAAATACGCGAATACAGCGTTGCCACACTTACTTCCATAATATGTTATAATTTAATGTAATGATGAAATTAGGAAAATGTAAATTATATCAATACCAGAATTCACATTAATTATTGTATGATGAATGTCAATTATTGTATGATAAATGCTTCCCTCGTTTTCAAACACAGGCGCTAGATCTACGGCAATCTGCAGAAAGTTGACATCATCATTGTCTGTTGAAAACTATGTTGGATTGGGACAAAATGTTAACATTTTCGTCTCCCCTTTTTTCATATGTCTATGGTTTTTACCATGCTTTTATTAGCTTGGTAAATAATATGTAAGTTTGTCTGGGGAGAATGTCAATTTGTGAGATCTGTCGAGTTAGGCAAGTGAAGAAAATAATCAAAGAAGAAGCTAATGAATTGCAAATCAAATATCAATGGAGGGTATTGTAACTAACTCACTGGATCAGGCACCAGAGGAATTGTTGGATTCCTCCAGTTGTATCAAAATATTTTCTGAAGCCACCTTCAAACAGCTAGCGTTGTGAGCTCAAATTGCCTATTGTTCTATCACTTCCAGTTTCACCGGAAACGACCCCAACTTTTGATGTTTAAATGGGACACCCTGTATTCTATTCCATAATCGGTTAGGGATTATCATGACGAATTCAACGATACCGGGTTTGATAGGGTTATTTCAAACAATTACAAAGATATTTGCGTTCGAAGTTTCCTTATGCTCCATGGGTGTGATTTTGCAATATCAAAACTTCTTTCTCTGTCACACTCATTGAGCATATGGAAACTTAGAACGCGAATATCTGCGTAATCGTTTGAAATAACCCTATCAAACCCGGTATCGATGAATTCGTTATGACAATCCCCCCATTTAAAAATCAAAAGTTGGGGTCGTTTCCACTAAAACCGAAAGTGATAGAACAAAAATTGTTTCGTCAATTAATGAGCAATTTGGTATACTAGCTGCCCACCAATTTTCAAAACCCTATCTGGAATAATTCGAAAGTTAGAGTCCTGGCCGTTTTTTGTGCACTTCTCTGTATGAACACAGTTGGTGGATTGATGGAGCCACCGGTGACGAAAGTTAGAGTCCTGGCCGTTTTTTGTGCACTTCTCTGTATGAACACAGTTGGTGGATTGATGGAGCCACCGGTGAATAAAAACAAGAACGTCCCTCTTGAGAACTTGAAATATTGATTTTCAATGTAGTCGACTGTAGTTTAGTTTTTTTTTTTCAAAATAGAAAGTTTTGATCAAAATTATAATAAAACCGATTACGAGTTATTACATCCCACATGATGTCTGGTCTGCAAATGAAATAATTGCTGTAATTTAGTGGCGATTTCGAATCCATTAGATCACTGAAATTTCTATTAAATGTGTGTAATATTGAAATAACTGACACTGTCAAAAATATTTCATTTTAGTAGCTTTATCACGCTCCTAAATTCCAATCACTAATTATCAACAGGAATATGATTTTACTTCAGAAAATAATAATCCCTGCTAAATTTCTGTTATGTTTGATGCAAAGTTGATGTAATTAATTAAAAAAATATCACCAAACTACTTCACCAATCTAACCAAAGTTTAGGACAGTTTTGTCGAAGTTACAATTAGAAGAAATAAGAAAATATCAAGAACTAAAAGTTGCAATAAACGTTGAAATTCGAGGCACATGTATAATATTGGAATAGAAACAACTTTACTGAGTAACATTTTTTGAAATTCGAACAAATGAGCCTATTGATGATCAAGTGATCAATTTGAAAAAATGTAAATTTTGACATGTAGTGAGTCACGTGACACCGACCGAGTAGTCCGCAAGCAAAACTTAACGCCCGAGACGAATTTCAAAATATATTATTATCAAAAGTTTTTCCCATAATGATGCCAACTTGATGAATGACACTGTATGCAGTGAGGACATGAAAGTTGTAACAAATTTAATGAAATATCTACTGAGCAAGCAAAAAAATGCTAGGACACTTTAACTTTAATTTTCAAATACGAAAATGTGCATAAGACACATTGTGTGACGTCATTTTTGTCGTAGATATGACGTAATCTTATTTTCAATAGCAACTCCAACTTTTCATAGAATCATGCTAGAAACCATGTTTTTCTGCATACTGAAAGATGACTTCTGTGATATGTTATATGTGAGATTATGATGTACCTGTATTCTGTGTTCATTCCAGACGTTAGCAAGGCAATGAAAAAGCACAATAGAACATTGAGGCATCTAATGATTATTGATGAAGTTTTGTGAACATGTTTCGTTACTTTGAATAAACGAAAATGAATTGACCAATGGTATAACGAGAGCCTAGAGCTTAGGAGACATTCCCAAACCTCATTGGTTACAACTGATCACGTGGTACATGAGGCCCTTATTGATTATAATAGATCACGTGCTAAATTGAGGTTGTGTTGTGTTTGGTTTGAATTTTGTCGAAAATGAGTGTGATGTGTCTTGTTTGTGAACGAATATTTTCTATACGAACTAATTTGAATGAACACACTAGAAACATACATAAGCGTAAGTCTTCTATGATGTAAAAACTTCACAAACGATAAGATTATAAATGTTTGGAAAAAAATTGTAATAGTTCCTTTCGATGCAATGAAGGATTTAGAGAGCATTTATCGGACGAGCATAAAAAGAAAATTGAAATTGAGAAGTTGGAATTTGACAACAAAGCCTACATCCTTGAATGTTATAAATGATGTAATAAATAAATGAAATAATTCAAGAAAATGAGCCTTTTTATTCAATATAACGGGTGCCTTTACATCAATCTGTGTTAAGTACTTATTATTACCTATTGATATGGGAGTTGATTATTTCCTTATTACTCTTGAGGATGAGCATAATACTCTGTTAAAAAAATACATATTCATTTACCTTCTGTTTTCACACATGAACTTGAATAACACGAAAACAGATTGATAACACTTCATATAACAAAATACACGAGTCAAAAAGTATATAAGTCAAAAACTCAAAACAACCAAAACACAAGACACTACCGTGGACTTAACCTCAATTTAGCAGGTGATCTATTATAACCAATAAGGGCCTCATGTTCCATGTGATCAATTGTAACCAATGAAGTTTGAGAATGTCTCGTAAGCTCTAGGCTCTCGTCTGGTATAACCTCCAACCTCACCAGTGCAATCTGCTCTTGGAGCTTTCCAGATAACCTGTCATTATCTAGTTCTTTTAATCACCCTGTGAAATGAATGATACTCTAACCTACTGACCTGGATTTCAAATAATATGTTTATTCTACAGGTAACCATACAGCGGGGAAGAAGAAGAAAAAATCTAAACAAAAGGTACTTTTCACAACCAATATGGCGTATTCTGGGAATTGAGTTTCTTTTATTATTATTTCTTCATTGAAATAGAAAAATTATAGCAAGGTAGTCAATACTTTTGATTAAAAATCTGTTTTAATGTGATGATTCATTTCTAGTTTTAGCTGTCAACTTTGGTTTAAAAAAAATAACAAAGATTGTTGATATAATTTTATTTGGTTCATTATATTATTTGAAATAATAAAAGTGAATGGAAGTGTTGTCTTGTGTTTGTTAATAACCTTTAATCATGAGAGTATACACACTAAATTGCTGAAAGGACGATTCTGGAAGATATCTTCAGTTTTTTTTATAATATCGCTTGGCAATTGCTGGAGTTTTGTCGGTGGTGTAAGTCTGAAAATAATCAAAATAAGTCGAAATATTGGGACTGTATGCCACAGGACTTACAATAATGCATTCATCATCTTTGAAATCGTATTCACGTGTTGATTTGACTTCGCCAGGTCCAACTGATTTGGTTATCATTTTGTTGTCACCCTCCAATGTAGTGATGTTCTGAAACAAAAGCTGTTTGTGTATTTCAAGGGCAATGTGATAGAATGTCGCTGGATTAGGAGAGGAGCAATAAAATTTTATGCAGGATTTTATGAGGCACTTTCGTGGCTCCAATAATATCTCGTTTATGCATATAAAGGTTGTTATTTAATCATGTGGCCAAACTTCAAGGTTCTATTATTTGGGTGGATCTATAAAAATATATTCATGTAAACAAAGGTCCTGAAATGCTTCGTTTTCAAGATACAGGGTGTTGAAGTTGGAAGTATCGATTGTTGTTTTTTATGTTTACCCTGTATAAGCTTTCAAGATGGTTGGTGACTGAAAAAGTCAAAAAATTTCAGAATATACAGGCTGATTCACGGTGGAAGACACATTAGACATTTCTCGAGAACGTAACTTTGGATTGTTCTGAAAATTTGGTGCCTTGAATAATCAGTTGTGCTCTATCGACTTGAAATACAGTGTGTCCCACTTACCATGCTCACCATGGGTATGTTTTTAACGGTGAGAGATACGAGGTCGGTTAAATGACACCAAATGTGGAGTTTGTTAAGGCCAACTATAACGTGAAAAAATATTTTGATGAAATCTATTCGTTTTTATGACCAATAGTCTATATATGGAATGAAAGATCAATCATTCTGAATATATTTTAAGATGTATGAACTGGGGCGGTGCGATATTGAAAATTGATATGGATACCGGTGTATGAATTGGTATGGATATATCGATATGTATCGAAATTTTTTTGGGTGATATCGTTATTCGCTATATTGAATAACGATATATCGATATATTTTTTTGATGATATCGTTATTCGATATATAAACAGCTAAATTGGACTAACACTCAGAAAAACCCGAAAACGTAAATGAACAAGTATATTAAATAGCAAAAATAGGTACTACAGTTTATCACCCACTGAACGCGTTGAGCATACTGACTCGCCTCCTATAACAAATTCCATACCAGCTCATTCGCTCCAGCCGTTATTCCTTACATAACCCATAGTGAATCAACACCCAACGAACATGAAATACATGGAAAAATATCGCCCTAGTATGAACACATTGAAATGATTATAGGTATAAAAAATACCACGTTAATCCTAAGGTAGCATACTTCCAATTTCAAGAAAAATTCAAATATTCACACAAAAATAATTTTTCCAAACTTCAACTGTAATGTCAGCGACTGCGTCGACTGTTTCTTCTTCAAATAAAACCAAATGATTTTTTTTTTCTGTTCAAGTTGAATTTTGGACAAAATCAGTTGAGATAGACAATACATGTGCAGTTGACAAAGAAAATAGTTATTCTCAGATATTTTCATGGAATTTTGAGATGTATGGGGGCATCTATTATTTACGTGAGAGAATTTTGGCGATTTTTCGACCCCTCCTAACCCCCTTGGCTCGACCCCCATCCCCTAATCTCACGTGAGATTTTACAAAATGCGTATTTGTTGTGTAAATGAGTTAATCTTGCTAGATTCCATTAGATTCATTTGAAAAAAATCAATTTTCTCATTTTTTTTTTTCTATTCGAAACTAGAAGACGAGTACTCGAGATTTTAAAGGTCGTGGCATAAAATCACAATGATAAAATCCAAAAACTGTATTTACTGTTATTCTATATCAATTATCAATAGTTAACGAATATTTATTAAATGTTGACAAAATACTTATAACTACAATTAATGCTCTATAAATTCATCTATCAGTGCATTATTAAACCAGGATGAATATTATTGTGTATGATTTAGCCATATGTTATAGTGGCTTACTTAATTTAACCACTCTTTCTCGCAAGTTTATACTGCTTCCTGTGTGGAAAAAAAATTACGTGATATTTGCCGAGATCACGTGAGATTGAGGTGAAATTTCGCTCGAAGTTTTCTAATATCTAGAATTATTTTTAATTCATTTTCACTTTCTTGGAATATTACCTACTACAAATAATGATGTTCTAGTCTGAAATTTCAGCATCTGAAGATTTCCTTGCCAAATTGAGTCTATTATCATTTTATCCGTTTTTGAATTTGAGTGCATTTCATACATGCTAAAAGCCAGGGAGAGATAATAAACTATAGTTCCTATAGGAATTTTATTCCCAAGAGATACAGGGTGACATAGATTCGAATATATAATCTGGTTTCCAATGATTTTTAAAATACCCTTATTTTGATTTTCTTGAAACCTGACAGATTTATTTGTAACAACAAAAATTCTGATAAATTTGTTTAATCTTCCTATGAAGCAAGTGGTCTGATAATGATAATGATGAATCAACTCTTCCACAGAAAACGCTATTTGACGATGACGTGAGTCATATTGACATCGATTAAAAATCGATTCCGCAAACTACCAATAACACGAAATCATCAATAAGGGTAATCATCATTGTTGTTATTTGTATATTGTCGTTGATTTATCTTGCCGAAAAACACTTGAACTTTTTTAATTGGATAAATTCCCTTACTCAAGAATTTCCCATCAGTAATTTCTCTCGAAAAACTGACATTAGACAAAATTGCTCGGCCTACGGTCACGCAATTTTTGTATGTCAGTTTTTATCGTGAAAATACTGATCGGCAAATGTTTTTCGTTAGCAAGAGAAAATGCGATAAATCAACTCCACAGAAAACGCCATTTCACGATAACGTGAGTCATTTTGACATCGAAAAAAAGATCCACTTATTCTTTTATCACTGTGAAAATGCGTGTTCCTCAAAACCATATATGATTATCTAGAATGCGCCCGTCACAATTTCTGTCGTGAAATAACTTTTCGAAATGCCCAAGTCCTTTTTTAAAAATATCTATTTTCGTTTTTCTACAACTGACTTGATTCTAACCCAGCCAACCATCGTGTGACATCAACATCTGTTCATCTGTGTGATGTAACAACCTTGCATAAATGTAATATCTCGTAAACACATCTTATCGACGTAGATTCGATATCAACGTCGCAAGGTGACATCGCAACCAGGAAACTATGTAATGTGGATGCGACTTCTTCAAACTACACCTCTTCGACGTTAACTAAATAAATTCACATTGATGTCCTCATGAGATACCTTTGTGACCTGTGAGTGTGACGCAGACATGCGCAAAACGAACGCACACGCCAGACGCCATGTTGAGCTGTGCATGACCATGTCAGTCAGTCAGTCAGTGAGTGAGTCCGACTCCGTACAGACTATTTCCTTCCAAATTCTCTGTTGAAATATCTGAGATGATTTATAGCACATATTATAGCAGCTTCAAATGGGAAGTATACAATCATTTAGGAACGACGGTGAGTTCAATCACAATAGGTTATATTGTAATTATCTCTGAGATAGAAATATTGCAATCTAAAACAAGATGGATGAAAGAACCCAAGATAATGTAAGTGTATTTGATAGGTATCATTTATGAATAATAATGTATATTTGTATTGCTATATATATGGGTCATATGTTTTACTTCAAGATTACTAATTAGGGTGATTGTCATTGTCATGATAAGTTTTGTATCATCTGTTTTTATTTTCGGAAAATAAACATTTTCTTCGTAAAGTTGAATAATTATTATTGTCTGTAGGTTAATCGAGGAGGTGGTACATTCATTTTACTTGGTTCTTTGGGATTTTCTCTCCTCGTTTCTATAAAATAAAAGTATTCGTATTATTTCAATATATTTGTAGAGGGACAAATCAGATGATTTGCCCCAAAATGTCACTGCGTTTAACAAATTTTTCTATCAGGGAGTCTAAAAGAAAAATCCCAAAGAACCAAGTAAAATAATTATTATTATTATATATCCCACGAATACCACAGGTACGGCGACCACATCATCGATGTCGCAGTGTGATGTATTTGTGATATGAAATGTCCACTTGTATGTGACCTGGTAGTGATTTTTCATGTAATGTCGCATTTCATGTCTGTACGACGTCACATTGCTTGAGTCGGACATTTTCACATCGCCACGTTGTATCGGTAACATATGTTTGTGACTTCAAATGCGATATCGCATGTCACAAAGTGATGTGGCGTATACATCACTTATACATCTCATGGTTGGCTGGGAACATGATACAAAACTAGATTCAGACTAGCTTCCCGAGAATGCAACTGGCACCTATATTATTTATAATCTTGTTAACATGATGTACGAAAGACGATATGCTGTCTTCTCGCAATCAGCATTTTCTTGGAATCGGCAATGGGAACCATGAGATATTTCGTGTCAAGTGTGATTGTTGGGTATTGTTCAAACGAAAATTCATAACATGAGCAGTATGTCAGTTTTTCTCGTAATATTACTGATTGGCAAATTCGTTCGTTAGGAAGCGAAATTTATCCGATAAAAACAGCACTGTTGCTTTCCCAGTGAGAAGTTTTTACTGATTGAATATAATTAACTATTTCACTCATCACATAATCTGACCAATGACAAGCCAGAGACAACGTGTGCTTATCGCGAAAACATTAGCTGTCTCAATTCGGATTGGTCTATCAGCGTTGATGTTTTCAATGTTGTAACCATGGATAGCGAAGCAAAGTCTGTCAGTTTGGCATAAAATAATTATGGAAGTACTTGTCAGAATGAAATCACTCGCTCATAATATACGCTTTTTATGCTTCGTGAACGTGAAATAGTCGGTAAAACTGATTTAGCATGCGATGGTTTTTTTTTCGAAATTTTTTTTTGGTACCTACGTATTTTTGTCTGAAAAACACGAATTTGATAATGAAAATGTGAACAAACCATTATTTATCAAGATATTTCACTATAAAGTTACAAATTTCACCTTCTTTATTTCCGCCTGTCTTCTGGATTGAATTTAAAACAATTTACCCTTCTTTTTTCATCATTGGACAATTTATTTATATCACAATGTAAGACACATTTTTTTCTATTATATGAGTTAACTAGAAATATGATTTTCTTGTGATTTATCCATATTTAGTGTAAAGAAGGAAGAATATCATTTAAAATAATGGCGTGTCTAATGTCATTCAAAAGCCCTCTGTTGACATTTGACATCTCGTATTTGGATTGACTATTAATTAAATGGCCGTCATCTGGTCATATACGTATTAATAAACAATACGGATCATAACGGGTGCCAGGATGAAGCCAAAAATATGAAACAAATGAATATCCATAAGGATTTGGTGGCATGATACGTAGTCATCAAAGACATGCGTTTCGGTGGACAATGACGTTTACTAGCCTTTCAATCAAAGCAGTATGTGTCTGATCGTACCTCACTTTTCCTTATGGATAGTCATTTGTCTTCAAAAATCGGCTTCATGTTTCGCTATGGAAACAGATAGAGATTATCCGTATTGTTTATTAATACGTATATGTATCTGTTATGCTTGTTCACTAAATATAAAAAACTCGCCATAAAAATCATATATTTCCTGTTGAATTTTCTGTATAAATTGTGTCATTGAAGTACGTACATCATGAGTATATAAAGTGTCCAATGACAAAATAAGAAGAACAAGTTTCTGTAAATGCATCCAACACAAGGGGAAAAAGGAGTCGAAATTTCGAACTTTTTTTGAAATATCTCTATAAATAGTGGTTTGTTCACATTATCATTGTCAAATTCGTGTTTTTCAGACAAAAATACGTAAATACCAAAAAAAATTTTCGAAAAAAAAGTCTAGCAAAATACCACTTTGTTCTGAACATCTCATAATTCAGTCTTTCTTCAATGAAGTGACAGAATTATGTCGAATATTCAGAACATCTTCATATTACTTGTGGAAACACAACTGATCTCTCATTTTTTCTAGAAAAATAAACGTAACGTACAATATATTATATATCGTTTAACTCTTATTTGAGTCCAAAAATATAAGGTTTTGTTACACAAGGTGTTAATATTTGTTGACTAGACACCGCCTGTATCTTGAAAAATACGGGTATATTTGGGAAAAGTTGATATGAACTTTTTCCTCAATTGTTTTTTGCAAAGATTCAACCCCCTCCTGTATTTATCTATATAGTTTATAATAAATAAAAGAATTACGTACTTTTAACGTTCCTCCGGGCATTTCCTCTTCATAGTCCTCTCCAAGTTTGAATTTAGAAACAGAAGTTCTCATTAAAGAAGATACAGTGACGACAAATGCGTTTTCCTCTTTCGATATTTCCAGTGATGGATGTGAAGCGCACATCATTTTCCTTGGCACATAGGGCACCCCTGTTCAAATTATCAATTAGGTCATTATGTGGGTAGATCAAATGAGAATAATTTCAACTTTACCTAATCCTTTGAAGTATTCGTCCAAATTCTCATTTTTGTAATTGGTGTATTTTCCTTCTATTCGAGACATTTAGTTGAGTTTCTGAAGTTGCAGTATTCTTGATACCTTTAGGCAGTTAGGCGCGGTAGACCAACTAATATAGTATCTGTAAATAAGTAGAGGTATGTATACATCAATGAAAATTCATTTTTTTATCTTGTTAGCTTATTAAGATATGGAAGATAACAAAGAACATATTATGATGATCCTGTTTCATCTCATAATGGGAAACCACAAAAAAATGAGTCACAGGAAACGCAAATAAAACGTATTTATATACAGGGCCATATTCTCCATGGGGTAACAGTAAATCAAAGCACCTATAAATATTTCCTATGAGCTCTGTGAAATTTGACACACTGGTGAAAGAAAAAAAACGAAGCCATCTTATAGCTGAATTGATTTGAGTTAGTCTGTTTATAATGATATCCTAAGTATCCGAAATAGTATATATTTTTACCATTGAGTATTCACACTAGTCAATTTAAAAAAATGGCTGCTCCAAGATGGCGGACAAGATTTGGTCCGATTCCATTCAAAATTGGTAAGTAGGGGTTTTTGAGGTCGGAGATCATGATTTTTTTGTTAAAATTTATGAATTCAAGATGGCGGCTTCCAAATAATTTTTTATTTTTGTATAAATGACGATAACTCCGTTGTTATCAACACAAAACTGGTACTGTGACATATCATCTGTAAGAGAAAATAAAGTTGTTTGTAACTAAGTCATAGTGAGCTATGACCTACATTTGAAAAACTAAAGTTGGTGCTGATATCTCAATTTCTAGAAGAGTTGGTATAAATTTCATATTTTTTCCGAAATCCCTTTGAAAAACTGCCATGAGAATGTGAAATTCCTATTTGAATATTTTCATAAATAAAGAAGTTACGGAGGAGACATGAAAATGATCAAAATCTGTTTTTTGTGTATAAAACAAAAACGGATAGATTTTATCAAAATATTTTTTCACATTATAGTTGGCCTTGACAAACTCCACATTTGGTGTCATTTAACCGACCTCGTATCTCTCACCGTTAAAAAGATACCCATGGTGAGCATGGTAAGTAGGACACACTGTATATGTTTATATTAATCTTTACTCTCTAAATGGTACTGTTGAACGGGGTTAAGTGGACCATAGTAAAATGAATTAGTCGGATGTTTTTAGTACAGAAGAGGGCGCTGTTTGCTCCAGCTGCAAAATTGAAACGTTTTCGCGTCCCAGTCGTGTCGCCAATACGTCAAAGTAAGGGAATAAGGAGGGTGTTTCGCCACGCTTAAAGAACCACGAGAGTATCACAAACAGACTGGCTTTAACAGATTTTGCATTAATATTATAATTGTATTCACTTACATGCTCTAATTGAGTTCAATAGTTATTACGACTGAACGTACATTTGATAAAATTGTTTTCCAAATGATGTTTCTAGTTGAATTTCAGCATTTTTTTAACTTTGTAAAAGTGGTCACTAATAATGGGTAAAATGAATCATTCTAATTTTTATGAAAATGGGGTTTATATTTTCTTATTGGCTATTTTTCATGATTTATCTTGCTATACCATGAATTAATCATCAATCTCTAATAATTTGATTCATTCTCAGCATGCTGAGTATATATTATGAAAATGCAATCACTAAAAAAAATTTTTTTTTGAGTCACTTACTTATCACGTCTGAGTATTTTAAAATCAGTTTTCACGCGTTTTTGATGCCTGATACATTTTACCCCAAAGTGGTGGGTAAAGTAAATAATATATATACTGGGTAGGGTGTCCCATTCAAAAGATCTAAGATATGTCGCTACTTTTCAATATAAGAAACAACACAACTAATTATCCAAGAAACCAAATTTTCAGTATAACGTTGCGTTCTCCATAAACGTCTAATGTGCCATCCACCGTGAATCAGCCGGATATCCGTCGGTGAATCAAACACCCTGTATTCCTGTATAAGAGGAATAAGCCGAATTCGATGCCTATACCAGTAACGGGCAGTAACACTCGCGCTGTATTTTGAGATTCTGGGTAATAAAATTTATCTATACAATCACAGTTTAAACAGAAAGTCACCATATTAAAACGAAATATGTACGATCAATCCATATATGTGATCAGATTCATCAATGACATCATTGATGTAATATTTTTGTTCACTGGAAATAGCAAACTCGTTTAATGTTTGATTTCCAATTAGTGCCAATCTTGTTTCACCTTTATTATATACCCATGGAAGAAGTAATAAAAAATAGTTAAATTTTATTGTTCAGTTCATATTACATTTCAATAGTATCTATAAGTTTTTCAATAAATATCAAGTATATGGAATATATTTGCACAATATAGGTACTTGACATATATACAGGGGTGTTTAAAAAATTGAGGGCAACCTCATCCTCTATAGCTGTGAATAATACACTCGATATTGTCTTTGCTAAAAAACGCCTCCATATGGAGATATTCACCCCTAAAAAGGAGGGACGAAGAATATCTTCGTTTCTGTTGAATGGGATTCGATGAAATCTTGTACAGGGTGTGACAAATTGTTTGATTTTGTTAGTTTTTCCTATTTCTGAAACAGATATAGGTCGAGAAAAATTGACCGAGGGGTCTAGATAACTTGATTTTTGTGAAACATCGATTGGTCAAATCAGCACTTCGATATCTAACCATTTCCGAGATAGGTATAGGCAAAAATTTACATTTGACCGATTTCGAAAAAATGTCGACATAACTATTTTATTTCTGGATATTTATTCCAAAACGATCAAAACTTTCCACCCACAAGTACTTTTCGAAGTAGAAGAAGTTATATATGTACATGTGACAAAAAAATACAGGGTGCCCCAAAATTGCTGGGACACAAAGGTACCACGTATAACAGTTCAAAATAAGTTGATTGGACCCATTTTATATAAAAAATGTACTGTTTGTTCGTGAGACGAGTTGAAAGTTTACATAAAACAAACACATTTTTGTACGCTCTCCAAAAATGAGTGAAACAAATTGGATAAAATTTGATAAAAGTGCATTTTTGAGGATTACCACCCTTCTTTTAGTAATCGAAGTAACCCGAAAGAAATCGTAGAAGGATTGAAACCACCTTCAACACCTGAATTTTTTTTTCAGAAAATTCTTAGGGGTGGTAATACGGTTCTCAAATTTTAAGCGAGATGACTGCGATTAATTATCTTCATTTTGTTACTCATCTGAAAATTAATACTAAAACCTACCTTTTCTCTGTCCCTCATGAGTATAGCACAGAATACTTGAGTATTCTGTGAGTATAGTGTTATTGTCAATGCGCAATAATGGCGCTTTTCAACTTTGTTTGCGCCATTGCGATTTTTTGTAAATAATTTTTCTTCTTTCGAATAATACCGCAAGATAATATATTAAGCTTACGCTGTAAAAAATGATGGATGATAGTCCCACAAATCTCAGGCTTGTGTGGCAAAAGTTTGCCAAAAATAAACTAGTTTCATGAGCAAAATTTGAAATCTGACAAAACCAGAATTCATCACTGACGTAAACTACTATCTAGACCCAGGCAACCAGATGACGTTCCAGTGACGTCTTTTTCACGTCACTTGAATGACCAAGTCAGTAGTTGACGTCGCATTGACGTGATAATGACGTGAATAAGTCACAGCCCAATGACGTCATATTACTCACGTCGTATTGACGTCATTCACTCACCGAACTGTGACGTCCAACTGACGTCATAATGACGTCAAAATTGAATTTGGCGATGATACGTAAAAAATATTCCTTCAACATGGTGTGATTAACACCACTAGCCTCTGATGACATTATATAATATTGATTATGCATTGTTGAGTCTGCTTGGTGGGTCCCTCCTGTGTCATGTTCATTCAATCGCCTATTCAGCAGCGCTATCTTTCAGTACGCATCTCCATCAGAATGCAATCAGTTACTCGTATTTGTATCAAAAAGTATGTCGTTTGTGTCGGCGAGATGTAAGCAAACAAAGAATAGTTTGATAGCAATGGAGAGGATGTTGGCGAATTTGGCTTCACTTTGTTGAATAATGTATATTGATGCATTCTTTGTCACTCAACAAAAATCTATATAGTTGATTATTAAAAAAATTCCTAAATGACGAAGCATCACCAAATTGGTACGTCACACCGACGTGATTTTTAGACGTCATAGATACGTCACTGCAACGTACGTCATAAGAGTAACGGTTTCAATATAGGTATACCTGAACAATCATTCTTATATAGCTTGTTGGTTTCCGAGATATACAGTGTGTCAAAGTTTTTTAGAAAAAAGTTTTTCTACTACTTTTCGGGTATATTAATGATTAGAATAAAACTTGCATGTTGATTCGCTTTCATGAGTTAAACTTCTGTTTCACATAAAAATATATAAGTATCCATGGTTTCGAGTATCTTTGGGAAAAATGGACGTCGACAGGACGTTCCTGCAACGTCATGAAACTGACGTCTCCTTTTACCCATCTAAGTGACGTTCACTCGACGTCGAAACGATGACGTGATTATCACGTCATAGAAAGTACGTCATAGTGACGTCATAAATTGGTGTGTGACGTCTCTGACGAAAAATCACCAATTAGGGACGTCACAGTGACGTGATCATTCGTCATTTGGTTGCCTGGGGACCGCTAAGCGATAATGAAGAAGCATATGATCGAGATCGAATTGCATAAAAAATGAATCATGCGCATTTAGGATCATCTAACTTATTCACTCTTGACTGAGCAGAACCGTTTTCCGACGAACAATGTGGATGAGACTTTCGGGTTGCTGATGGATGATATTATGATCATTAGCGGTCTAGATTGTAGTATTATCCATGGTGGATAGGATGGACTTTGATAGAAAATGTTTTCGAGATACAGGGTGTTTTTAGGTAAGAAAGATCTGTTGATTTCTGCATGATCACTCAGCTCGTTAATACATTTACCCTATAGGTACGCACGACGATGTTCCACGAATGGGGGTGTATAATTTTGCTGACCATAATTAAAGTATGCTGACCGAACATTTCTGATTCGAATTTTCTCTTCAAATTGCATATTTGAATATCTTATATAGATATATAGATGCCACCAGTGGAATTATTTCGATTCACCCCTTCAGAGGGGTAGATTATTCTTGCAGTTTTTCAAAAATCCTTGCTGACCGAGCATTTCTAGTACCTATTTTTCCATCAAATTAAATATTTGAATATCTCATATATAGATTTATATATGTCACCAATGGGATTATCTCGATCCACCCCTTTGAAGGGGTAGTTTATTCTCGCAGTTTTTCAAAAATCCTTTTTGCTGACTGAGCATTTTTTATTTGAATTTTCTCTTCAAATTGCATATTTGAATATTTTATATAAATCACCCCTTCAGAGGGATAGTTTATTCTTGCAGTTTTTCAAGAATCCTTGCTGACCGAGCATTTTTAGTACCTATTTTTCCATCAAATTAAAAATTTGAATATATCGTATAGATTTATATATGTCACCAATGGGATTATCTCGGTTCACTCCTTTTGAGGGGCAGTTTTTCAAAAATCCTTGCTGACCGAGCATTTCTGGTTCGTATCTTTCCATCGAAACTATTTGAATATCTCATATAGATTTATAGATGCCAACAGTGAAATTATTTCGATCACCCCCCCCCCCCCTTCAGAGGGGTAGTTTATTCTTGCTATTTCACGAGAATTCTTGCTGACCGAGCATTTCTGGTTCGTATTTTACATCAAATCACATATTTGGTTATCTCATATAGATTAATAGATGCCACCAGTGAAATTATCCCGATCCACCCCTTCGGCGGGTGATTTGATGAAAAAATACGGATCGGATTTTTGAAAAACTGCGGGAATAAACTACCCCTCGAAAGGGGTGGATCGAGATAATTTCACTGGTGGCATCTATATATCTATAAAAGATATTCAAATATGCAATATGAAGAGAAAATTCGAATCAGAAATGCTCGGTCAGCAACGATTTTTGAAAAACTGCGGAAATAAACTACCCCTCTAAAGGGGTGGATCGAGATAATTCCACTGGTGGCATATATTAATCTCTATGAGATATCCAAATATGTAATTTGATAGAAAAATACGAACCAGAAATGCTCAGTCAGCAAGGATTTTGAAAAACTGCAAGGATGAACTAACCCCTCTGAAGGGGTGGATCGAAATAATTCCACTGGTGGCATCTATGAATCTATACTTTCTTCCTAACCCCGCACAAGTTTCGACTTCTGGGGAGTTGGTTCCCAACTTTGAAGTAGCGATATACAAAATTTACAAAAAAAATGAGATATCCAAGTAATTCGATGAAAAAATAGGAACCAGAAATGCTCGGTCAGTAAGGATTTTCGAAAAACAGGAAGAATAAAAACTACCCCTCTGGGGGAGGATCGAGATAATTCCACTGGTGGCATCTATAGCTATATCTATAAAAGATATTCGAATATGTGATTTGATGGAAAAATACGGACCAGAAATGCTCGGTCAGCAAGGATTCTCGTAAAACAGCAAGAATAAATAACTACCCCTCTGAAGGAGTGGATCGAAAAAAATCCGCTGGTGGTATCTATGTATCCATATAAGATATTCAAATATGTGATTTGATGAAAAAATACGGACCAGAAATGCTCGGTCAGCAAGGATTTTTGAAAAACAGCAAAAATAAACTACCCCTCTGAAGGGGTTTTCATTAAATATTGCACTTTTACGTTGGCAGCATTGCGCATTTGTTTCTTCAACACCGGCAACACTGCTCATGACTTGTCATGTCATGATTGTCATTGGATTGACATGAGTCTTATGCTTATGTCATGTCCTCATGTAAGTCCTCATGTCACAGTCAGAAACTGCTGAACAATTTCACAAGGAAAATGACCAAAGTGAAGAAAAGATTGAAGATAATTTACCTTCCGTAAAGGATGAATGGATGGTCTGCGTCTGTCTAATGTTTATCTTTAAATTAATTTTGTTAATATCTACAGATCAGAAGATGTACATATTATGATGAAGAGTACAGTGATTGTACTTCTTATAGGGCCAGATTCAATCAGTACTTCATCTTTGGTAAAACACTGGATTGCTCACAGTGGAAGAAGGATTCTGTAAACTGTTACAAATGGAAAGACACTGAAGATGTAAAAGCAGCAGTAAGTGATTTACTAGGTGATTTACCTTTAGTGATAATTACCAATTATTGTTGGAATTATTCATCCCTTTGAATATTTATTTTTTAGAATGAACTTGTACAAAATGAAAAGCAAAGAAGGAAAGAAAGGTTATTACCACATTATAGCAATGATGTTTGGGTCAAGCGTAAATCACCCCCTGAAGATTGGAACAAACCTCTTCCTGCTCATATACAGCAAGAATATGAATATTCTTATCTTAATGTGAAGTCAAAAGAAATGAAAGGAGAAGTTCCACCTTCATTTGATATGGATTTAGGATTTTGTAGTATAATGTAATTGTACAGATTCCATTGTTTACTGTAGTAAGTAGGTAGATATTAAAACAATATATCTATACAAGCTATTATTCAATTACAAACTATTACATTATCAAATTATATCAATACTCTTGAAATTTGCAATCTCCTTACCAACTTTATGGAGAATATCATTAGCAACAGAAGTTCCTTCAATGTTCAGTATTTTTGAACATTCAGTGATATAAGATTCCAAGTATGTATCCTCATTGGTTTCATTGTTCAATACATATTTATTAGTAAACTGAGCCAAATTTGAAAATACAGAACTGAAAGCATCATCCAAATCAAATAGTTCCAGAGGTGGTGGAGGCAAGTCACGAAATGAAGGTGGAAAAACAGCAGGCTGTAAAGGTGGATAAGGTGTTTCAAATTTCGGAGTTATTATCTTCAAAGATTCATGTACAACTCCTAACTTGTCATAGAGTTTCAAAGCCTCAGGAACGAAGTTTGTATTCATAGAATACATTTTATGATCAAAAATTTTGGTATAATCTATGAGACCATTATGACTCACAGCATCTGTTAGACATAATTTTGGTTTTTCAGCTAGTTCAGCTGTTTCAGGAATGATATGGTGGTCTGTAAAATCCATATCATCATGATCCATTGGGGCAAAATGCAGTGATTCATTGCCAGTCAAGAATTCCATCAGGTGTTCTCTCAACTTGTCATTATTTTCCTGATCAATGTACTTGTCTGAGAACATGTGACCTGATCCAACAGCAGCCAGTCTTCCACCAGACTTTTCATCATAAAATAAAGCTGCCACTGGTCTGTCCACAGGAAAGGATGCTGTTCCACTTGTGAAGGCAACAAGACTGGGTTTGCTTACACTAACACTGCAACCAAATGGATAGATGAACTTGATGTCTTGCTTTTCATTGTTCATCAGTGTATAGTTTATCTGACTATCTGCTACATAGCATTCTTTAGGGTGGAAATATTTGTAATAATGGGTCCTTATGACACAATCTATATTTGGAATTATCCCAAATTGTTCTAAGAGAATGTTGATGTTGCATGAATCAGTTGCATTGCTTTCAGTCAAGAGAACCAATACTCGTCCACCTTTGTAGATGAATTGTCTCAAAGAATTTATTTCGCCTTCTTCAAAGGGTTGTTGAGATCCAGGTAAAATAATCAATGAGCAGGTGTCTAGAATATGTGATGATAATTCTTCTTTGTTCAATATTACTTTGAAGTATAATTTTAGTTTTCTCTGAAATATCTTGTAGTTTTCATTCAACTTGAATATTTCTTGCTTTGATGCATTGAATATAATAGTATTCTTATTTTCTGTTGAATTATTGGATGGAGTCATTTTATTTTTATTTTCACTGTATATCTCAAATTATTTCAGTTTTGAACACCTTTATCCTATCATATATGTATAAAATAGAACATTGATCACAATAATCATCTATGATAGCACCATAAAATATGAATATGATTGATATCATGGATTGATGTTATTATTGTTCGTTGCATAGCAACATTATACAGAGGGTGGACGTTATTATGTTATGAAACAACACAAGCATAGACTGCTTGCAAAATAAATTAGGATTAGGAGAATACTCAATTTTCATATTCATTTTTCAAAAAACTGGCGATAAGTATTTGAGTATGTTTTTGCTGAAGCTGCTCCAAAATTGATTTTGAAAAGACTAAAATAGGGTCCTGCATCTCAACTCCCGCCGCGCCCCGTCTTCTACAACTCATTAGTTGAGTTAGAACTCTGTTATTTTGCTGACTTCATCTGTATCATGGGGGGCGCATAAGTACCGAACCGGAGAATATTTTCGATTATACAAGGTGTTTCAAAAAAGTGTGACGTCATTCAACGGCAAACTCAAGCCTAGCTGTATCTTCTCTAGAAAGGTGGAACTCAGTATGCCCGATATTGTAATGTCTGGCACCACCAAGCCCACCATATCTATGCTCGGTATTTCCATCAGCAACACTTCCATGGGATAATCATGTCAGATCCATCGCAAAAGCTGCTTCACAAAAACTCTTTACTACTTTACACCTCAACAGCTTCTCATATGATCTACAAAGCGCAGAATGTTCTAGAATACTGTTCCCACATATGGGGTTCGGCACCAAAACATACGCTGATGCTCTTAGATTCCATCCAGAAAAGAGCCATTCGCCTGGTGGGTGACGCCACACTCACTCACTCTTTGACAGCATTGGAACACCGTAGAAAGGTCGGCGACCTTTCACTTTTCTATCGATAATTCCACGGGAAATGTCTGCTATCATCCCTTCACTAGCAATACCAGTCAGACGAACTAGACAAGCCCGCATCCTTTCGTTGTCAACCTCGAAAGATGTCGAACAGCACTTTATCAAAACTCCTTCATCCATAAAATGGCTAGGCTCTGGAATTCATTGCCTGAGGAAGTATTCCCAACAACATATAATCTCCAGAAGTTCAATCCAATACCTACCTCTCCTGTCCCTATATCCTCCCTAGGAACGCACGATGTTCTTTGAACATTATAGGGATTTCCTTTCGTGCGCGCCAAGCGATAAAAAAAACAAAACCGATCAGGCAGAAATTTTGCCAAAGTGGTCGCCCTGTAACTTTTTTGATTATTGTCCGATTCCGTTGAAATTTCAACCAAATCGTAGATTCACATATGTTGTTTCTCAATGTTAGCCTGAATTTTAGTTTCCAACTAAAGCTGATGACTTGATCATTATATAGGGAAAAACAAAAGTTTTAATGTATGCATGACGGGTGAATTCATTGCGACCCAAACGATCTATTTAGTGCCCCCTTGCTATACAGTGTCATTCATGAAGTCGACAATAGTCGGCATCATATGGGAAAAACTTTTGATGATAATTCATTTCGAAATTTGGCTTGGGCGTTGGGCGTTAAGGTTTGCTTTAAAAAATGTGAAAAATAGACTACTCGGTCGAGGTCACGTGTCTTTCGCTGCTTGTCAAGAGTTACATTTTTCAAATTGATCGCTGAAAATATATAGGCTCATTATTTGTTCGAAATTCAAAAAAGTTTACTGAGAAAAAATGTTTCCATTCAAATTTCACATAATTATGTGTCCGATTGAACGTTGAAGGTAATGTGGATAGAGGTTTTCTCTTCTTCCCCACAGAACCTGCATTCGTCTTCCTCTTCTAAGCCGAGCATCCTAAGATGTCCTTTCAACTAGGAGTGCCATGTTTTAGGACCCTCGTTAGTATAATAATATAGGAAGTTTTTTTATTCAGGCTTACATATGCGTTCTATCTTATTTTGTGGTCCAATGGGTGCCAAAATTGAGGGGTCAGGGTAAGACAAAATTATGCGCCGCAGGCGAAAATTTTTCATGGTTCAAGGTCAAATGCCATCAAATTTCAAGATAGATCAAAGCATTATTTATTTTGCATCAAGTGTGAAACACCTCTACCAAAATATAATATTTTGTGACTAATCGGGTTTCGAGTTTATGGTTGATATATTAATATGAACAAGGATGAGAAATAGAAGAATTTTTTTTTCACCATTGAAAAAAGTGAACATAACTCAAAATTTAAAACGATATTAGAAAATTCAATCTCTACAAAAATAAAATAAGATTTAATAATTCTCATATCTCAAAAAATGGAAAAGAGAAACTTCGGGATTCGAAAAAATTAGCAAGTAACCCCAGTTAATTTATTGCGAAGGTATTCCTACTGACTGTATTATCAATGGATTCATTAGCCACTTCTATTTTTTTCCAAACTGGCACTTGTAACCTGTGATGTCATAATGTCTAAAATTTAAATCGGAATATCTGCACAGTGCACAGTGTCAAACCCTGGATGCACATGAATCGAATATACGGTTCGCATATGGTTGTTTACCTATACTTGTCCAGCAACAATGTGCAATATTTACAAGTGCTCATTTCGCCCGTATCTAATTTGTTTTTTTATACGTCTGTTTCGGCAAATGGGTGCATTGCACCCATACCCACTGCCTACATGGGTGCATTGGCCCCGATGCCCCCATGCACTCGCCGCCCCTGCCCAGAAGTATCTTAGTCTTTCTGAGACCTTGAAGATTTTTCCAGATGTCTGATCTCTGTTAACTTCTTCTTTTCTAAATGTTCTGTGCTGCTGGTAATCCCGCAGAAGGGTTCTGGCCCCACGAAGGATGTTTGAGCTCCTGTCCTAGCGAATTTGTCCGCTACTTCATTTTCCTTTGTACTCCGGAATAATGTCCCGTAACCCATAGGAGCAGGGTTTTGTATTCCTGTTGGCTAGCACGTTCAGTTTTTTCCGGTATTCCCGATTATCAGAGCTGATAACCATATGGCTCAGCCATAATATGGCTGCTTGGCTACCAAACATGATTATGATATATCACGTCTTTCACAGGTTTTTTCTACGCGTTTCCCTAGAGCGTGAACTTCCGCCTGACATAATATGCTTGGAAATTTGCCAAGGCTTTCGATGTACTTGAGTACTTTGTACGAAGCCCGTACACTCCTATTCCAGTTCCATCTGCGGTTTTGGAGCCATCTGTGTACCACTTAATTGTTCTTTCTTTGAGCTCAATATCCATTGATTCACTGTTCCATTCTTTTTGCAGCTCAGCATCGTGGTGAATTGTTTCACAAAGCTATACATACCTTTCTATACATCAATATTTATCTCAGCCCCATGGCAATTCTTGGATTTGCTGGTTGGCCTGCCTTTGATCACTCCTTCTCCAATCATTTTACTGTATGTCATGCTCTTCGCCGCATTCCTTCGTCTCTCGCTGCATTTTTCGTGCATTGTACAACAGTACAATGTTATGGCATGCTTGAATAAATGAATATCCCAAGTAACACGATTCTGTGCCAAAATAATTGTGAAAAACTATTAATCATTCCAGAATTACGTCATTTGACAGGTTGCTGAGGGGCAAACATTGTATTTCGTCAAGATCTGTCATAGAAAACCAGAATTAGTGGGATCGTTTTCCTTGGAATCTGAGTTGGAACCAAAAAGAATTTCATAATTTTGTTTGGTGAAACTGTTATTATATTGTGGATGTGGCAGAGGGACGACCTGGGCAATGCTCATCAAAGGTAACCTAACAGATAGTTTGTGTACCCCTCAAGAAACCATGTCAAAATCACGTTTTCTAGAATGATCTATTCCAACAAATGAAGAAAGTGAGGTCAGCGAGCCTCCAGGGTCGGTCATCTGACATTTTGTGCACGCGACCTATGCAGCCGACACCCACTCATACCCATGGCCCCTTCCTGGTTCGAGACGCTCGTCTGTTTGACTGGTTGACACTTGACACTATCGACACTCAACTTTGACTGTTGGACAGTTGACACTGACAGTAGTGACAGTGGTTGACAGGTTGACTCATCGAAGGCGAAAAGGATTGTTTGTATTCATGTATTGTTTATTATATTATTAATCTATGTTGATAGTAAAATAAAAATCCGCTGAACATGAATTGAAGATTTTTGAAAACAGTTTCAGAAATATTACCGGGAAACCTCAAAATAAGTAGAAATTAATTGAATATCTAGTGACGTTTGTACAATACAGTGTTCATCAGTAGGTTCACTTTACAAAATTGTGATTCATTTGGGAATTAACATTATTTCAAAAGTGAGGAAATGGCTAATAAGGACGATTACTTAACTTATTACCGAGAGTTCTTCGAAAACTTTGCTCAAACTGTGAACCCTAATGACCAGCTACCTGTTAAATTAGGTAGCTACAAATTGGTTAATGTGGAAGTAGTTGGTGGAATTATCGACTGGACCGCCCAATATCTAACACAAAAGTAAGTACATGTAACATGTAGGAATAGGCATAATGTTTCAGTTCCAACCTTTTTACTTGAGCACACCCTGAGGACTCAGCTGTCATACAAATTTCACAATGCACAAATCACTATGTACTTTATTATGATATGAAATTTACTGTGATGTAAAGTTATGTGATGGGAATTATGGGATTGCCATTACCAACATGAACAAAATGAACAATAGTACAAGGACAAAATTTGCAAGTGGAATTTCCTGGGGATTTTCTGATTGCAAACCCATTTCATCAGTTTTCCCTGATTTTCCATGTAAACTGAAGGTGGTTGGACTTGTTATATTCCATAATAAGTATATTGTAATCAAAAGATGAACACACCCATGTATGTGTAGATAGGTGATAATTATAAATAAATACTTATAATAGGTATAAAAGTTATGGTTATGGGATAATAGCCCATGATCAAAGTTGAGTAAACTTATTCATTATCAAAAACAGATACCTGGTCAGTTCCATAGGTTATTGCCTCAAGGAAAGAAAGGGTTATTGAACCTCTTTTCTGAGAGGATAATAAAATAGGTATGTGAATAATACCTCATTCTGAGCTTAATTCTTATAGGTTTCCCTATTTTGATTCCTCAAAAAGTTGTTTAATCACATAGAAATCATGTAGAAAATCAGACCTATTTTTCAATAGGATCCATGAATCCCTCAATGAATCCCATGTCAAAAAGACCACCAGTTAATTTTTTCTACCCCATGAAATGAACCACAGGCAAAATCTTTTTGTGTGAGGTCAAATGGCTTTATACTGAAAGTTAGATTATAGGACTGGCTCTATGTTCTGATAAAAACATCTTGTATATATCTTGGTATACATGCTTTTTCTGAGGATCCATATGCTGTAAATTATTTAGCACCTGTAACAACCTGTGACCAGTTAATTTTTTGTACCCCAAGGAATGCACCACAGGCAAAATCTTTTTGTGTGGGGTAAAATGGCTTTATATTGAAAGTTAGATTATTGAACTGGCTCTAGGTATGTGCTGATAAAAACACCTAGTATATATCTTGGTATATATGCTTTTTCCAAGGCATTGTCATGCAAAATTAATTGATTTTAAGTAGAAATAGGTTGCATTGAATTAGTATCATATGGTAGTATAGTTGAATTAAGTACAAGATATCTTTCAGTGAAAAATTGTATTCAATTATTTTACCAACCCAGTACTAAGTAGGCCACTGTTACAAGTTGTTTTTTGCTCAGCTCAAAGCTCCATACATTCAGTTTTGATATTTTTTGAAAGCCACCTTATATTTGATGGCATGAAAAAGGCAGTAAAATGTCCCTGTTTGCAATTTGTTCTCTTCAACATTTTGGAAATTGATTATGAAAGTGAAACAAAATATACATACAGGTGGATGGCCCATTGGCCCAATTCCAATACTGCATTGTAGACACCAAACACCAATAGGAGGCAATGGAAATGCTTGACATCAGCTGATCAAAGACAGGATTATAAGTGTACATTAACATTATCCTAGTCCAAAGTTTTCATTGCTTCATTATTGTTTCCTCCTTCAGAATGAACAAACGCAACAAGGTGCTTACAGGGTCCTCTAAAGGCCTGTTCATTTGTGTTTGCTCTGCATGCAAAACTTGATTTTTTTCCATGAGTTTCACTGTATACATCATGCCATGAACAGAGACAACTATGGGAACAAAATCAACTTTAGCAATTCAGCAACAGGAACAGACCATAAGTGTATTTAGTTGGTCCATGTCTCATTTATTCAGAGATTCGAAAATTGAACATACCAATTCTAGCTGTAATTTCACCCTTGATATCGCCAATAAGTAGGTACCTACCAGAAATTTTCACAACACAAATTATCTGTTTTCAATTAGATGGTGGAATAGTTGTCAAGCAAGAGTCAAAAATATACAAAAATAATATTACTACCAAAATACTAATCACTAAAATGACAACACTGTAATTTATTTACGCCATGACTGTAACCAAGTTACCAGTGCATGCAGGGGCGGCGAGTGCACCCATAGAACGGATATCCATGGTAGGGAAGTACCAATCTGATTTCAATCAATTTTATTTTCTAGAGATCTACTTAGTTGTCTTCTGAATTTGTATATTATTTGTTCTTTTCATAACAAAATTTGTAAAGAAAACCTAAATAACATAATTTTTTTCTCAGGTTTTTTCATATTTCAATTCCTATTAACATAAGCTAACATCAACTTCTCTCGGTTTTTACTTTGGATCTGAAAGTACATCAATCTTCATTTTTCAGGTTTGTTTAATCGTTTTTTGGTAAAACTGCATTTAGCATGCGATGGGTTTTTTTTCGAAAATTTTTTTTGGTACTTACGTATTTTTGTCCGAAAAACACGAATTTGATAATGAAAATGTGAACAAACCATTATTTATCAATATATTTCAATATAAAGTTACAAATTCCACCTTCTCTTCCGCCTGTCTTCTGGATTGAATTTAAAACAATTTACCCTTCTTTTTTCATCATTGGACAATTTATATAATATATCACAATGTAAGACACATCTTTTCCTATTATTGAGTCAACTAGAAATATTATTTTCTTGTGATTTATCCATATTTATTGAAAAGAAGGACGAATATCATTTGAAATAATGGCGTGTGTAATGTCATTCCAAAGCAATCTATTGACATTTGACATCTCGTATGTGGATTGCCTATGGATAAAATGGCCGTCATCTGGTATGCTTGCTCACTAAATAGGAAAAACTCACCATGAAAATCATATTTCCTGTTGAATTTTCTGTATAAAAATTTGTTATTGAAGTACATCATGAGTATATAAAGTGTCCAATGACAAAATAATAAGATCAAGTACCTGTAAATGCATCCAACGCAAGGGAAAAAAGGAGTCGAAATTTCGAACTTTTTTTTGAAATATCTCTATAAATAGTGGTTTGTTCACATTTTCATTATCAAATTCGTGTTTTTCAGACAAAAATACGTAAGTACCAAAAAAAATTTTCGAAAAAAAACCCATCGCATGCTAAATGCAGTTTTACTCGTTTTTTCAGTGAGTTTCCACTGTTTGATGTTTATTCAGTAAGATGTTGAGAGTAGGTAAATTGCAGTTGAGTCCCGACACAGTGAAAGTCATAATTTCTTCAACATAAACAAATTGTGAAAGTGAGGTTATTTTACTTCCATGATTGTCATCCAAACCTTGATCCAAACCATCGACCAATAATGAGAAGGAATATTTCGATTACCCACAAAATATCCTATTGTTCAAGGTCATGGAAAGCTCATTTTTTATACTTTGGACCGCACGAGAAATAATCCCTTTTATGTAAGTAAGACGCAAAACCAGAGGTGTTTCACACCTTTTACACAATAATTGTTGATCTCATCTAGTTGACATAGGATCTCTGAAAGTTTCAAATTCAAAAGCATTTAACATTGAAGAAACAATTTCTCGTGCGGCTCGTTTTTGGTTGCCTTACCCCTTCCCTCCTCTTCTGGCACCCATTGAACATAACAAAACTCGCCGCCCCTGAGCTCATGTCGCGAGACAAATAGCTATTACTTTAGACTTTTCCTAATCCTGCTGAAAGATTACATTTCGATTCAGAGGACAGAACAAAGCACTACCTCGTAATTATACAGAAAAATCCGGCTGCCGGCCGTTAAACAATCTTAACGGACGGAGGCTGTTGACAATAATTTTTCAATTGTCATCTGAATACCGTTATATCAAAATAACAATATGGAATTACGAAAAAGCAAACACGCTGCATTTGAAACATGAACTGTTTAGCGTACATCTCTTACTCAAGGACTCTCACTTCAGCTTCCGAACATTACTCTTACTTCAGTTTTCGAACACGTGACTCGCTGTCATGAACGACAATTTTGAGGTTTCCGCGCAACGAACAAAAGCGTTTTCGAAATTTACCCGACATTTTCGATTTGGTTGGGTTGCTGAGATATAACATAGCGGTCTAGCAAGTGGTTATGTCAGGAGGCAACATGTGTAGAAATCTTGAAGTAGAAAACCTCGACCGATCACTCCTAATAGTCCTAATAATAATTGCTACTACTTTAACCTGGCAGTAGTTGCGGTTACTTTGCCGAGCGGTCGGTGGGCTAGACACTTCCACTTCTATTTTAGGCTTGTTCGTTTGTATTGCTGGACTTGTTTTTTTTTTCTATAGTTGTCTCTGTTCATGGCATGATATAAACAGAGAGTCATAGGAAAAAATCAAGTTTAGCAGGTAGAGCACGCACAAACGAACAGGCCTTTTATCTCAATCAGACAAGGATTCGCACCAACTGGCAGCCACGATTATTTTCTGTGCACCGTAGGAACTGTCGTGATCCATTCTCGTCTAGTTCTTCGCCCCCAGATTTTATCGATTTGCGCATGCGTGTGGTTGTTCAATTATTATTGGCAACGGCGCATTATGCCATTTGCTCGCCGGTTGCCGTTGTCGCCTTTCTTCGATCGTTGTCGATGTCAAAAGTTGACTGAGACGCTCCTTTCTGTTTCCAAAATCGGTTTTTTCTGAGTGATTCTCAGAAGCTTTCGATAATCCATATTATAGTAAGTATTTTTAACTTGAACCTTGATATTATGCATGAGGGACAAGCTGGCAAGTGTTGAATTTGGTCACACATAACCTTTGATTTTTCTAGATTTCTATGACCTCACGATGAATTTGGGCGAATGGAGACCTCAAGAAACCATCATCAATAATATCAAGGAAACGCTTCAGTTAGCTCTTGTACCGAACAGCGATGCTCAGAAAACGGTACAGGATAGACTTCTGCTTATGCAGAATTTGACAGATTTTCCAAATTATCTGTTATTCATATTGGGAAATCCAGGGTTTTCTGAGGACATTAGATCCTTGAGTGGAATATTACTGAAGAATAACATTCAGTCAACATACAACAATATGAGTGTTGAAAACACACAGAAAATCAAGAATGAATGTTTAAGATTGTTAAGGGACACTTCTAGAGAAGTGAGGACAAGCATCAGCAATATAATTGTGATAATTGCAAAAGATAATCTGAAGACATGGCCAGAACTTGTTCCCATTTTGACGAAGAGCTTTGTTGCTCAGGATGAATTTAGTGAAGTAGCTCTGACAACTTTATTCACAGTGTGTGAAGAACTGATTAATAGTCAGAAACCTCAAGAAGAAATCTATAAGATAACAAAAGAAGTATTTCCTAAATTTGTAGAATTTGTGGGAGTGGAAGAATGTTCAGTACGCCCAAACATTGTGAGACTCACCAATCAATTCTTGCAAGACTACTTTGGGGTAATGAAACAGTCCATAGATTTGGGCATCTATTTGAGAAATGTAATGCAGCTGGCAAACACTAATGATATGGACCTACAAAAGAATGTTTGTCACACTTTTGTGATTTACATTGACAATCATGAAGAAACATTGCTTCCTCACCTGCATGACATTATTTGCTTTTTACTAGAGAAGTGCCATCATGAAGATCAAGATGTTGCTTTACAAGCTTGTGAATTTTGGTTAGCTTCAACCAAAATAAATACTTGCAAAGATATTTTGTCACCATACATTGAGAAACTTTTGCCCACACTACTGAAAAACATGAGGTATTCTGCTAGTGAACTGAACATGATAAAGGATAGCCTGGGAGCAGATGCAACTAAGAAAGATTTGTCCAAAGACATTTCACCCTTTCACTTCAGAGATAGAAATGCTGTTGCTGATGGTGAAGAATATTACAGTGATGAAGAAACTGAGGATCAGAGCGACGATTTTGATGATTTTTATGTTGGTTGGACTTTGAGGAAGTGTAGTGCTGCATCCTTGGACTCAATTGCGGTAAAGTTTGGTGATGAAATACTACCATTGCTCATTCCTCTCATTAGCGAAATGTTGCAGAATCCAGATCATTTGGTCAAAGAATCTGCCATATTGGCATTAGGTGCAATAGCTGAAGGGTGCTTCAATGGTTTGAAATCTGAATTGCCTGAATTGGTCAGATTTCTGATAAGTTGTATGAATGATGAACACTCTGTTGTTAGAGTGATAACCTGTTGGACTTTGAGTCGTTATGTATCATGGATAGTTAATGTACATGCTGATAATCCTGAGGAATATTTTGTGCCAGTAATGACAATTTTACTAAAGCATTTTGTTGATGAGAACAAGAGAGTGCAAAGGGCAGCCATTTCAGCTTTCTGTATCTTCCAAGAAGAAGCCCAGTTGAAACTGATTCCCTACATTGATTTCATTTTGGCAGGCTTCAAATATGGCTTTGAACAATTCCATTGCAGAAGTTTATATTTACTGTATGATGCAATAGGAGTTTTAGCACAATCTGTTGGTAATCATCTCAGTAAAGATGAGTATGTTAATAAATTATTACCACCACTGATGAATAAATTCACAGAACTCAAAAACTTTTATGATGATCATTTCATTGCTGTATTAGAATGTCTATCCAATGTAATCCCTGCCTTGGAAGTTTCCTTTCTGCCATATTCGGAAATAGTCTATTGCCATTGCCTGCAGCTCATCAATGACACCCTCATCGCTTCAGTCAACTACCAGCAGAACCCCAACGAGTATGATCCTCCTGATAAGGAGCCCATGAATGTGGCCCACGACGTCCTCTACAGCATGGCTCTTGGCCTGAAAACACATTTTGTCACATATGTAACTAACAGTAATCTCATTTATCTGCTGTACACAACGATGCAGGATAGCTCCAATCTGATTCGGCAGACCTCTATCGCTTTGTATGGTGAGCTGATTGGTTTGTGTTATCCGTTCTTGGCGTCTAGTGTGAATGAGTACATACCCCTAATTATCAAGAATTTGGACGAACATACTGACGGTGTTTGCAATAACGCCGCTTGGGTTATAGGGAAATTGTGTTCTGTTATGGGCAACACCATTCAACCTTTCCTTCAGGAAATATTGAATGCTTTTGTGCACATCTTACGAACACCGGCCGTTGCTCGTACTATGCATAAAACTGTAGCTATTTCTCTGTGTATTGTATTTTTCGTTTGTCCTGAAGTGAGTGTTCCCGATATGGATGTTATAGTTAAGAATTGTTGTATGTTGGTGAGGAATGTGCGAGATTCGGATGAGAAAGACTTAGCTTTCCGGGGCCTGTGCGAGGTGATCGTCCGGCATCCAGAATTCAACAAACAATACTTCATTTTCTTCTGCGACGCTGCTGCGTCTTGGGTGAATATCAGGGTCGATCTAAAGCAGATGGTTAAGAATGTTCTGTTGTCTTTCAAACAACAATGCGGGGACGACAACTGGCGACAGTTCTATACGCAATTTCCTGAAGCTTTGAAAGTCAAACTTCAAGATTTGTATGGGGTTTGAATTACTTATACATTAAAAGGGGAAACAAGAAAATGGGTGGGAAAGCTTGAGTGCACCTGCCTTGAGTTTATCGCGTAATATTTTCGTCCGCGTGGGAGGGCCGTCTACTGATACCTTAGAGTCACAAAAATCAAGGAAGATTTTTTTGTAGGGAAAAAAGGATTAATTTTGTTCACCGCGTAATATTTCTGTGTCGTCCGCGAGGGAGGGTCGTTTGAATAAATAGAGTCACGCGTTTTTACTGAAGATTTTTTTCTGTCATTATTTGTCCGCGAGCTGAACAATTTGGTCACAAGTAAAATATGGAGGGATTCATTGGATTAAGTAATTAGTATTTTTTTCATGGAGTACTTACTTGAACAGTTTTGTAGAGATTCTGGTGAAATTTTGGTATTTTTCCATCCTATATTTGGTCATTTTTATTCATTAATAATTTCTGCACAGGAATCAATTTGAATTTCAGGAATTTATATTCTTCATGCAGTATTTTTTGTTATTATTAATGAATATATATTTTAAATATTAGATATAATCATAGTATCATAACTAAAACTCATCTTCATATTATTACATAATAATATATGTATATATTATACCATTCAATAATGAACTGCGATAGAAATCATATGGAATATTTTTGGTTGTAAATTGTTTAATTTTATTAATTTTGCATTTCTTCAAGAAGTTATTGCAGAATGTTTTTCAGACTATGTGATATCCATTAAAAAAGGTATTATTCAAGTAAGAGGCCAATCCCAAGGGGTGATTTTTCTAGGTGAATTTAAGCTAAAAAGTTCCTTATACCACAGGCCTGAAAATGCACCATTCTCAAAATTTCTGTAAATAGCTTTAAAATATTTTAACCAATTTTGCTCATATTCACGAAAAATATTTAAAAAAAAAAAGTTGACACTTGAACATTATGCATATCCGGACGTATATACAGGGTGTTGCGAAATTCGACCGACAACGCTTGACAGGTGATAGCCCTCATTATTTCATAATCACTGAGATATGGACATATGGTTTTCAAGTGTTCAGTTCTCGAGATACAGGCCGTTGAAGTTGAGGAATTTAAATAGGTTTTTTGCAATATCTCAAGAAAAATTGAATATAATGCATTCAAATTCGGTATATGGTTTCATCTTTCAATTTTTTGACCAGTTTTCCTCTCATATTTTTTACGCCACTGATGAAATTTCGATTATTTTCAATTGTTCGAATTGATTGTTCAATCATGTGCATAATCTTTAACTAAGCTAAAATGAACAGTTATCGAGATATTTTACCCAAAATAGAAGTTTGCATGGTAATTTTTTATCTTCTTCAGTAGTAGAAGATTATAAAAATTTTTGTTTTCTCTTTATGCCTGTAAAAACTATTTCTGTTCAGCTACAGAATGAGATCTGAATAGTATCTAATCTACTCAACACCAGAAAAATATTTTTGCAATTTTCTACTAATGAAAATGATGAATTATTACTATGCAATCTTCTATTTTGGGTCGAATATCTCAAAAACTGTTCGTTTCAGCTCAGTTGAAGGTGATACATTTTTTGAACAAAATTGAACAATGAATTCGAAGAATTGGAAATAATTGAAACTTAATCAGTAGCGTAGAAAATATGGGAAGAAAAGTGGCTACACCCTTCTGTAGGGCACCACTGGATAAAATGTCCGGAATGGCTTCGTGGTCAAAAAATGACCCATTCAAAGTTGAAACCATATTGTTGAATGCATTATATTCAATTTTTCTTGAGATATTGCAAAACAACTATTTTTATTCCTCAACTTCAACGCCCTGTATCTCGAGAACTGAACATTTGAAGACCGTATGTCCCTATCTCAGTGATTATGACATCACGAGGGTTATCACCTGTCAAGCGTTGTCGGTCGAACTTCACAACACCCTGTATATATACAGGGTGTCCGTCAAACCATTTATACTAATCTATGAGAAAACCACAAATTGACCTCGGTAATGACCTATCGGTTTTCGAAATATTGGAACTGTAAGAAGAAATGAATTCTCATCTCAGGTCATTCTTTCATGTTCCAGGTGAATAAGGAGGGTTTCATGTTAATTCTTATTTTCGATAAATGTTACTGAATAATAGTTGTAACATTCGCAAACGGCGTATTTTCAATAACATTATCCAAAAATTTTTTTGTAGACCGTAAATGAGTCCAATCGAAAATCTGCCTTCTGTGATTGTTACAACTACTATTCAGTGATATTTATTGGAAAAAAGAATCAACATCAAACGCTCCTTATTTGCTTAAAACATAAAAGATATCAAGGATCTAAGATAGACATTCATTTTCTTTATTGAAAAGTTCCAATATCTTTAAAAACCGTGAGGTATTTTTGATTTTTGTCTTAGAATTAACAAAAAATCAACTCCTGAAGTTTGGCCACATACTTGAATAACAGCTTGTATATCTTATCATCAGGTCTTTCTAGAGCATTCAGAGGCCTCAATAATTTTGCAAAAACTTGTCGACGAATCGCATATTATTATATTTTAGTTTTATAAAGACGCAAAATTTTTATTTCTGTAGGTGATGCACATAATAAATTATTTTATTTTAATTTTTAGTTTTATTACTGTTTATTCTATTACCTATTATTTCCGCATATGGAGTAAGTATTGATTTCCGATTATTATCATTATTATTATTATTATTATTACTTACTTACTATTATTGACGATTCTTATGCTTTGTCATTACATTTTTGTACAATTTCTTTGCCTCCAATCTTTCTGAGTAAATTGACTGTTGATCTTGCCAAATTTAATTGATGTCTGGAAGTTCTTGTTTTAGATTGAAATTTTGCTTCATATGCATAAGATCAAGATTCTTCAAAATTCAGCTGGCAAAAATAATATACACGGAATATTCCAGAAGGAATATTCAAAGATAAATATTCCGAGAATATTTCACTTGGATTGTTCAGGGAATATTCAGGTATTGATATTCCAGGAAGTCAACTGAATATTCTGATTTGTATATTTATGGAATATTCCATAATTATTATTCTCATGTGTTTCAATGAAATATAGTATAGTATAAACACCAATCACTATATTATATTTTATAGATGCGAGTATCAAACATGTATGATGATAAAAATTTGGTAGAAATCCATCGTATCTCGAAGTGGAGTAGGAATCAGGAACATCACCACAATTTGAATATGGATCATTACTCAATCAGATCATCGTTCATGTTTCGAGCCCATATAGACTCATCTTCATTATTATGTATCAAGATTTTGAAAGATGAAGTGTTTATGATCCGATTCTACATATATACATTCATTCTTTCCCACCAGCACATTCAGGGAATATTCCGTAGAAGATATGTATATCCCTGGTATGTTCATGAATATTCCCAATATCCAAAAATAATATTCTATGAATATTCATGGAATATCTGGTGCTGTCTGGGATAAGGTGCTTCAAAATTTAAATTCTCGAAAAACAAAAACAAGCTCTGAGTTTTTGTAAAAAAGAGATCTAACTTCTTATCTAATCTTTTGAAATGATGAATGATCTGTTTCAAGAAACCACATCCAGAGGAACCCAGATGTTTGAATCTAGAACCCTTTGACATACATCATATATATATCATTTTCGGAAAAATAAATTTTTGATCATGAATAGTGGAGGTGGTAATAACATATTATGAGATTCTCAAATGCTTACTATTAGAGATGAAGGGTGTTGAAGTTGAAAAATCACAATCGTTTTTTCTTGAGGACTACTACTGAAAACCCCATTTTTTTGAGAAATTCATTTCAGTAATTTGATGTACCTATATTGACGCGCTATCAGGAATTTCTACTTCAAAAATATAAGTTTTTGAAAAAGAAATCATGTGTAGAATTTCGATAAAAAAATATCAGCTATTCTCGAGTAATTTTGAAGAAAAATCTTTTATTTTTCATTTGAACACCAAAGTATCTTTCGAACTAAGCACATGATGTTCCTTACCTCACTATTATAGTCATCAAATCGAGAGTGTTATTCGATCACCTCTGAGTGTTGTCGGTGGAATATGGTTCACGAGAATTATATTCCTATACCGTGTGTCCCAGTATACCTGTTCCAATGCATTCTCTCAGCCATTTCGAAAAATGAAAATTCGAAAATTTCATGATCTCCAATTCATTCAAGGAAGCTTCAACTGATGAGAGAAACAAAAATTGAAGGTAACTTTTTTATTTCGAATAGCACCCTGTATATTTTTGTCAATTTTTGATTTCTACTCAAAATTACCGTACTACCGATGTATCCCACTTTGTATTTTGAATTCGATTTGATGGAGAAAACGACAATTGAAATTTCAAATTGAACGAATTGCTGTAGGCTACGATATTTTTGTAATCTTGATTTTGACTTCAATAATAATTTCAAATTATTAGAATTGTAGATCATGTAATTTTAAAATTTTCATCTTTCAAAATGGCTGAGATAATCTATTGGAACAGGTATACTGGGACACCCGGTATATGAATAATTATTTGAAATTCTGATCTACAGGAAATCTGCCCAACGGATTCTGTCTTTTTTAATTATATTATTGAGAACCAAAACCTATATAGAATCTCTAGACTAAGAGATTTCATTTTTCAGCTGATGCAAGACGGATTGTTTCGGCTTGATAAGCCTCATCAGTTGCAATTATGACTACACGAAATTTCCCAAAACAAAATCCAAGGCAAAAAGTACTCTGCGGAAAATTCCTATTAACCATAGTCAGAAATCGAATTACCCCAACAAGAAACTGCTTGCTGATTATAAACCACCTGCAATTATTAGATATAGAACCTTGCTGCCACTAGCGAGTGCTTCTATATATTGCTATTAGACGATGTTTCTGTAGTAGGTATCTGACTTTGCTACCGCTAGTGAGTGAATCTAAAAATGGGTGTAGGGCAATGTTATAATCGTAGGAAGGGAACTTTGCTACTCTTAATGGGTGATCATATAGATAGTTGCATGAC